AAGAAACATTCAAATTCTACATGTTCATGGTGCAATAATTTATTCATAACATTCATAATCATAGCAAATTTATTTTGTTGAAAACAACCTTTTAACCACATATACCATATTTTTTCGTGTATAAGACACACACAGGTATAAGATTATCGAAGTCATCCCCTTGTGGGGTGCAATTTTTGTTGTTTTGAAGCCCCACCCTGGCTTTTACCGGAGGCTCTGAATATAGCTGGGCCACAAATGTGGCCATATCGGCTGAAAGGGGTTTCTGGGACCTCTTCACATGTGATCCTCACCCGCATGGTGGCACTTTGTGTCATTGGGTGTTTATCGCTTGTGTGATGTCAAGCTATAGTTTGAGCCCAAAATAATGAAATAAATATTTTAAACACAGTCCACTATAAAACTAACAACCCTCACTCCCCGATTTTAAACAGACAATTTTGTAAAAAAAATATATCGTCTTATGGAAAAATGCAGTACCTCCATGCATACACCAGAAGGAGATATACTTTGGTTACATTATGAGGAGAAAACCAGAATACCTCATTTAGCATGACATTTTATTTTCATGCACATTTTTGGTCAGTGCTATGGCTTAAGCGACGGAAATGAGCTTTATAATTCCGAGGTACCTGGTTCAATTCCAGCTGCAAGCAATTTAGCAGCATTTCGCTTTGACCTGATTTTGACAACGGTATCAAAAGCAAGGCCTTTGAGCTAAAATGCTATAGAAATCTTGGACAAAGAAGAGGAGAAATACAGGCATCTTGAAAGATATGAACATCAAAGAAGATTGGCTAATAAACAGCATGCTGTCTTGAAAGCTGAAATATTTTGGTCATATCAAGCACCATGATGGATTGGAAAAATTAATAGCAGAAGGCATGGTACCAGGAAGGAGGGGCTGGCCAACATGAAGATGGGCACAGGATATGACTCCTTGAGTCTAATAGTACATAAGGCTGGTGAGAGACAGAGTTTCTTTCAGGTAAAACATGATGAGAGCCAAGTTTTGCAAAGGACCTGCTCCATGATAATGATGATCAAAAGCAAAGTGTTCAGTGAGCAATGACAAACTATTGAATGTAAAAATAGCCTTGAAAAAAAAAAAAGCAAACTACTGAACATAAAACTGTCTAGAAAACCCTAAACAGCCCCCCACCCTCCGAAATGTTGGAGTTGTTTCTGCAATATACTATAAAAGCTGCGCAATGAACCTTTTTTTTTAAAACCTCTAAGAACATTTTGTTATTCCATTCACCTGCCTACTCTCCAAGATCATTATAAGTGTTAATTAACATTCTGTCGGCATCTGTGGCTTATGGTTGGAAATACAATTTCACAATCCTGTCCTGATCTACTGGGGTCTCAAGTCAGTCCCCAGCTCCATGTAAGGGTTCTGAGGCCCCACTGTGGGGGAAACTAGAAAGACCCACGTCTCCCCAACAAGCATATCATAAGATTCGAGTAACTGGAGCAATCCTTCAAAGTCAAGGTGCATCTGACTAAAAGGCAAGGAACCACTAATTAGCATATGGATAAGTCAGATCTGTAAAATGGATTTGCAAGCAACACCCAGCTTCTGGAGCAAGACTAAAGTCCAGAAGTGGACGAACAGCCAGAATTTTCCATCAGAGTTTACAGCTGGTGAACACCAAGAAGGAGAAGAAGCTGTCAGCAATTTAGCAGCAAACTAATTTGTGTTCATTTCTGAAAATGGTATGAGCTTTGTCTTCTTCTTCTGCCTTTCTATCCCCCAATGGAGCATAGGCCCTCAACCAGCTCACACCAAGTCATTCTATCCTTCGCTATTACATGGAGCTCTCCCCATCTTTCCAACTTCATTTTCCAGTTCTCTTCTCCATGTGTTTTTTGGCCTTTCCTTTATTTCTATTCCACTATGGGTTCCAATGCGAATACATTCTAGTTATGCAGTTCTCCGGTTTTCTCAATGTGTGTCCTATCCAACGGCAGCATCTTTTCCTCACCTCTTGGTCCACTGGAGCTCCCAAGCTTTGTAGCAATCAGAAATCTATGGCAAACAACCGAATGTAAAATTTCTTAGAGAAGACCCAATTAATCAATAAATGCTGCTGCTGGTTTGGGAATCCTGTAATGCAGTGTTCTTCAATCTTGTTACACCTGCTGACTGTGGAAACAACACCATGTATAACATTTAATGAGAAACAGAAGACTATATGGTTTAATCAACTTGCTAGAATGTAGCCAGCACAATTTCCACTACAGGAACTATGCATGAAAAGATCCAATGTGAAAGCAAGAGGCCGTCCTAGGAGAAGATGGAATAAACTGATCACATTCAAGCCCTTCTACACTGACATGGAATGACAACAGTCACTGCTCAATCACTGGCTAGCAAACTGTTCCTCCCCACAACACTTGACAGCAAAAGTGGAAACTGATTGATAATGATGCTGACCAGGAAAAAGGAGAAACTTTGCTTGCAGGTCCGCTGATGCTTAAGGCAGAAAAAGAAAAACAGAATTACATAAAAATACAAAAATGTTGTGCCCTCCCCAGAATAGAGATTCTCTGCGGTGAACCCATGTAGCAGAGTCATTGCTCATACCACCTTTTTAGTGTTGTGCTGTTTGCACGACAAGACCCCTTATGGCCTTCACCCTTGTTTTTGAAAATTTTCCATTAGTAAGCAACTATATCCCCCTAGGTCCCTACTCTTGTTTCCCACGTACTTTGAGTCGTCTGACTAGTATGTGACTTTCCCCGTCCGCACCAAAGCAATTAATTTGTAAATACCTATGTCCCGGCGAGCAAAGGTCGCTGCAGAAGACTGCAAAACAACGAGGGATAGGAGCCCCCTGGGAGCAGGCTAGTAACCCCTTTATAAACGATTGCCCGGAACCTTTGACACACAGACACACGAGACGGACAGGCCAGAGGATAGTCGAGGAGAGACAGAAGGCACACACACACACAGAGGACACAGACGGAGGCAGGCCAGAGGATAAACAGACAGGCCAGAAGATAGCCGGGGACAGACAGAGGATAGACACAGATAGAGAAGACACAAGACACAAACGGAGATAGCCTGAGGCAGAAGAAAGAGGACAACAGAGGACAGCAGAGGACAGGCTAGAGATAGAGACAGAGACAGATAGTAGAGCGAAGTACCGGTCAGTTTGTAGATAAAAAGATAGTTAAAGATATATATATATATGTACTCGATTAGGATTACTGTCAGAAACAGTGGCCCATTCCGACTGGTTACGATCATTTTTACGCAAGACAACGGATCAACTCTTGTATACCGCTTCATAGTAAGAGAGTTACACATTTTCCACCACCCATGGGTCCAGCCAGATTCAGGTGTAGATACCACTTCGGGGTCAGATACTGACTCGGAGACAAAAGAAGAAGAGGCCAGAGCATAGATAAGTAGTTAGTCGGCATTAAATAACAAACCTTTTAGCCCAACCTGCACTAGTAGCCCGGTGACAGTCAAAGACAATAGCACCAGTTTACAAAGTAATTAGAGATAAGGAACACAACGCGATTCTATGAGTACTTAGATGATTCAGCATTCTTCAGAGTATCTTTTGATGTTTTTTGTGACATTTGTTGGAGTGTCATAATAAATTTAGTGTGATCCTGAACAGTTGTATTCAGACACTTTATTTTACAAGCATCACCAACTCCACTATCGACACGACCATCTTTCTCCTCGTCTATCAACAATCACCCGCCACCCTTGTGACAAACAATATCATCGAACCTGGGGAAAATTTCAGAGACGACTGTGTCACACCCAGTGCTTCCTATATTTGAGTATGTAGTTTACTGAGGTCTCAATCTTGTTTGAAAGCCATAGAGATGGTCTTTTTCTAAATGACCAGCCTCAGAAAATGAAACCTGACATATACAATATTGGATTGTAAAATGGCTTCACTAACCTCTAAACCACAGAGCCGTACAAAACGTCGATACTATCTATATTAAGCATTAACCCTGTCGCACAGACAAGTCCTGAAACACACGTACGGTTCGGTTTAATACCCTGTAAATGTCACTTCTCAGACTTTTCTTCACTGATGTGTTTACAAGACACTGTTAATGCTACTGGGTGAGTTTGCATTTGCACAAATATTTAGAAGGTCAGGGTATTAGCAAGACCATGGTCCACAAGCAGACGAACAATCAAGACTTTTCCTCAGAGTTTACAGTCAGTCAAGTCAAAGAGAATGAAAGAAAGAAGGATGTGCATTTAATGTAAGCTGAGCTGGTCTGTACAACAAGAGTTGAGCAATTAGTTTTAATCGCCGTTGGCAAGTGGACAGTGTGAAAGCACCAACAGATCATCAGTCTGAAGAATAGTGCAGCTGGGAGTGACCAGGGGATGGAAAGGCAAGACGAACATACAATCAGTCTGCTACTGGTACTACTGTAACTACATTGGCTGCTGAAGATGGGGATAGAGTGCTTATGGGATTGTCCAGTGCTGTGATGTTGGTTCTCAATTTTGATCACAGGTCTTGTACCTAGGATATACTATCTTTGCCAGTCATTCCTACAGGATGTCCAAGATATTAGTCTCTCTGAAGTGGTAAATTTACATCATCATCAAGTATCACCCAGACTGGTATCAGTGACATGATAAATTAAAAAAAAAACACCCAAAACATTTATAATACCATTCTCATCTGCTGACTTAATGTAAACTCAGTCATGACTTAATTTACCAAATTTATCACTGCATCTTCTTGTTTACTCAACTTCAGAAGGTTCGTCTCCTTAGAGGGGAAAAAGGGGGAATGCTCAGTAATTTTTTTCCCCAATTGATCAAACAAATCTGAGGATCAAGATTTTAAATACTGCTACTCTAGATTAACTTTCATTGTGTTAATGAATCTAATACTCACAGCACGAAACTTATAATACAAAATCTTAACCATCCATACAATGAAAAAAAAAATCATCTAATTTATTTACAACAATAAAATTGTTCAGGCAGTTCATCAACATCAGTTCTTCTTTTTCTTCTCCTGTTGGGGATTGATGACATTCTGGTACTCCTGCATCAGCTTCTCCTGCGTTGATGGCAATGCTGGACTGTAGCGGCAATACTCCATGGCAAACTCGCCTTTCCCTTGTGTGAGAGATCTCAGTTCTGTTGCATAGCCAAACATTTCATTCAAGGGGGCCTGCAGAGTCAATGAAAAACAAAATGGTTGTTGATGATGTCACTAAAGTAACAAAGCAATGTTTCCCCGTTGTAAATTTGAACAAAGAAGACACAAACAATAGATTGCACAATTTATTGCCTGGCATATTTCAATGTATCTCGTCAGGTGCATGCTACAGTGACAATTACATAAATGAAGCAAATTAGTGAATCTTTTATAACTGAAGTAAAATATCAAGAACAATCAAAATAACTACCTGTTTTACCAGGGCAGCCATAAAGACAGAACAATCTCTTTTTGTATACAGAGTTCCGGAATAACCTCAGTTCCTAAAATTTTGGTTCTGCGTATCGTCAAAGTATCCGACATAGGGATTTGCTGAACTGCATGTGATTTGCTGAACTGAATGTGCCACACTCGTTTTTATCTTATCAATAACTGCTATTTCGTCTAGAATTGCTAGTATGCATTCTTTCATGGTTCCTCATTTTTGGCTAATATCCACAAAACATGCAAAAAAGCCGCTGTAGCTTTTTCTTGTTGAGTACAAGTTCTCACAAGAATTCTGCTCCTATGCTGATAAGCAGCAATCAACGACCCAACCTTTGATTTCCTAGCAGTGAAACCTTCTGGATCAAGATTTTCCAAAATCAGCATGTTTTGTTGTAAAGTGCCGCTTCACGTTGTACTCCTTTACTGCAGACACACATTTGTTGCATAGCAAGCACATTGTTTCGAATTAGGCATAGTTGGTGACATAAAGAAATATTTCAGTGTTCAGTCATTATTGAATGTACACTCCCACTTAGCTTTCTTACTAGTACCAGCCATGGCATCAAGTATTTCACTTAATTATTAAAATTTAGATAACTTAAAACACTGTTACTGTTTCAGTTTGTTACTCCACAATTGCGACTGGCAGTCTACGTCTGTCTGTGACTTGCACACTGGACGTTTATAAAAAAAATCTGATTACAATCTGAGAACAAGATCACTAGGTGGTGTTCTGCAGCATCCATTGTCATTAGTCTTTGTGTACTAGCAGGCACCATTAGGGAGAGTTCCTCGGTAATCTAAGCGTTAACTATTTGGACCGGTCTTTATCTCTATATGCCTCCTGTCAAATAAATATCTCACCTTCATTGACTATCCAGTGGAACGATTGCTTCCTACCATGGTTACTTGATTCTTTCCAACCTATCTTATTACCCTGGGCTCCAAACAGGCAAGTTCTGCTATTTGAAGTAACTTTTACAGTAAACTAATTCTATTTCCATGCCTGAGACATTCCCACAGTTGTGGTATTGTTTGTTCATACACCCGTTCCCTTGTATCTTCACATTTAGAGATCCCTAACAAACATTTCCTATTGTCACTTTTGACACAACTGGTTTTTTGTAGATTTATACAGAAACACTGACTGATTAACATTTTTTTTTGTAATATACTACATTTCAGTAGCAACGATCAGCAGGCCACTTGCTAGGCCTCTGAGGGCCAGATCAGGCCGCCAGCCGAATAACCCTGCTCTACGACAAGTAAGACATTTGCAAGAACCAAGTGACTGAATCTGCAACCATAACCAGACTGCAATAACAGTGAGTTAAAAGGGATGTGGCCAAACGAGCACTGCGCAAGAAGCCAAAGAAGAATAGGTTTAAGGATTGAACAAGGGATCAACATTATGTCACAAGGGTAGTAACCCATTAGTGCTCTGTTCTTCTACTAACTCAAGTCTGAGTCCGAAAAAGCTCAGCACAGTGCACAGGCTCTGTAGCACCAGCGAGGATCCTGAAATACTTTGGGCAGATTTTTAACTCCAAATTTTGCCAGAGCAACACCGTTAGGCTACTCTAATCGATTTTAAACTGTCAGGGGATTTTTAAAAAATGCATAACAATGCACATGGGCGTCCGATCTCACTACCCAGAGACTAGGGGCAATTACTAGAAGTCCAATTCCATGTGAAAAAATCCCAGCCCTTATCGGGGATTGAACCCGGAACCCCTAGCACTAGAGGCAGACACCATGCCTCGAGACCATGCAGCCCCTCAGAAGAATAAGAAACCAATACAAATCTAGTGTCATCAGCCACTACACGATGCAGGATTTACTGAGGAGGGAATCAAAGCACTTATAGCCTTAATGTTTCGATCTACATTGAGGATAATCTGTCAACTAACTGACTATTCCAATCATCTACTTGTGTGCTCGCCCAAAAGCCTTGGGTATGAATCCACTCTGAGGTGGATTTTTATAACTGACCTACGGCTTTCCGGTTGACACCAAGAAATGTCATGGGAAGTAAAGGTGGCTTGTGTACTGACCACATCATCTATCAAGTGCTAAACAGTTTATCCAAATATGGGCCTTGTCCAGCTCCCCTAGGTGAATGTATCACTGGCAGGAAAAGTATTCTTTACTATACATAACATATTCTTGAAGCATCAACGGTGGTGTGAAAAGGCTTCCATAAGGGAAATCCAAACATCATATCCTATTTTATTTCGGTCTGAAAAATAACTAAGGCCAAAGCAGGATGTAAGAAGTGAGGCTGGATGGTTTAAGACAAATGGCATTGTGGAATATCAATTGAAATTATCAAGAATAAACAGCACTGAGATCTGTGGAAACACATAAAAATCTCTAAGCTGTTTGAAAGGCACATTCCCTGTGTGGGTTCAGGTCTCATTTGTATTGGGAAGAACAGACCCACTGCAACACCCCCACCCACCTCCTCCCCCCCTCCCCTACATACATGTAGCAAAAGGCAACTAGAAATATTTCCTTCTAAGCTGGAGCACTTCTGCCTCAGAGGTGAGGAACAAACAGTCTGCATATAGATAAGCCATATTTGTAAAACGGATGTGCACATATTACTCAAGTTCTAGAATATGACTAAAATCAGAAATGGACAAAAAATATAACTTTTCACTGGAGTTTACTGCAGGTAAATGTGAAGAAGAAGAAGTAGAAGAGGAAGAAGAAGAAGAAGCAGAGGAAACGCACATAAAGAAGAAGAGGAAAGGCACACGAAAATGATTAATGGTCTCTGGGCATAAATATTCATAAGTAATACTTACAATAGAGGACCTGACAATATCACACTCATTCAGTAACAATTAACACTTACCTCACAATAGAGGACAAAAGAACCCTCTATATTGTCAGTGCCAACAATCACTGCACTTCTCTTCAAGACATTTTCTATAACTGCACTCCTGTACTCCTCAGGGGCTGTTATCTCCACTGTCATGATTGGTTCCAAGATCTGCCATTTACCATCTTCAAAAACTGAAACATTATGCAGACAAGGTCAAGGGTTAGAGAGAAAGATCAACTTCACTGCCCACACATGCCTCAGTTCTTCTCCGCAGAATGGCAAGCTGACATCCAAAAGTTCTGCACAAAGCACAAACTCTGTAGCTCCAGCGACGACCTTCCCCCAAAAATACACTTGTGAACTGAGTCATACAAATAAGATAATGAAAACCATGCAAACACCAAAAGTGCCATGTTAAATTATTTGTATTCTTCTGCTTCTGAAAAAGTGTTGGCCTGATTGTATTGTTTATTTACTGCAAAGCTGTATTTAATTAGAAGCAATTAACGTAACACAAGCTAAAGCTGGAAAATTTAATGAATGGAAAGAAAAATAAATGAAGAAAATAACAACCAAAAACAGAAAAGATAAAAACAAAAAAAAAAAGAGGAGAAAAAAGCGATACACAGAAGTTTAACCATGGAGGGAAATGATGAGTAAAAATACAAGAGAGAAAGGAAATGATGAAAACAAAAACAGAGAAAGGAAAAGATGAGAATATACAACAGAGAAAGAAAATGGTGTGAACAAGTACAACAGAGAAAGAAAAAGATAAGAACAAATAAAACAGAGAAAGAAAAAGATGAGAACAAATACAAAAGAGAGAAAAAAAGAAGAAAAGAAAAAATTTAAGTGAGAAAGTCAAAGATGAAAACAAATATAAAAAAGGGGGGGGGGGGGGGGGGGGGGAGGTGGGGGGAATTATGAGAACAATACAACAGAGAAAGAAAAAAATGAGAACAAATACAACCGAGAAAAAAAACATGGGAAAGATGAGAACAAATATAAGTAAGAAAGGCAGAGATGAGAACAAATAAAACTGAGGAAGAAACAGATGAGAACAAATACAAACAGAGAAAGAAAAGGATGAGAGCAAATACAAACAGAGAAAGGAAAAGATGTACACAAATACAACAGAGGAAGGAAAAGATGAGAACAAATGCAACTTAGAAAGGAATAGATGAAAACAAATACAACTAAGAAAGGAAAAGATGGACACAAATACAACATGTCTATTTGTTGTGAATGATGGGGGAAAAATACCTTCTTTCATAGCCATTTCTGTAGCAAGCTGAAAAGCAAGATCACTGGAATCAACTGAATGATTTGCACCTGTGGACAAAATAAAAACATTATTTCCCTATAAAAGAATACAATTAAAAGAGAATGAAGGAACCTTTCCATGGTTTTCATTCTGGTATTTGCACATCTAGCATACGGTACTAAACACATATTCTACAGACCAATCATAATTTTTTTTAAGCCTTGTGACACCATACCATCTTCTTTTTCTGCACTCCAAGCCCTTGAGGTTCATAGCTAAGGATATCCCGTGCCTCCATTCATCTCTCTGGTTGGCCTTCTCTTTGTGATACCATACAATACAAGACATAAATCCCTAGGCGAATAGAGCATGAGGCAGACCACGAACAAGATGAAAAGATAACATCAGAGAAACTCTACATCAGCAAGATGTGTATACGGTCGAGGCAGCCAGAAGAGCATGAAGCAGAACCTAAATCTCCCTTGACACCGAAAATGATAAAAAAGTGAGAGGTCCTAATGGAGCAATGATGCGCAATACAAGACTCTTAATGTCTATTAGCCTCTCTTGCTCAAGCCTACCTCACCTTCACATGGTGGACCCTGTTCTTCCCAGCAATCCAGATGAAGGTTGGGGTCTCAACCCCCAGAGAGAAACTGGATGGGACAACAAACGAGGTAAAGGCGAAAGACGAATGGATGAGCCTACTCTCCTCGAGTATGATCATAGTCTAGCAAAAACAAGGTGCTGAAGTCGGAGGCAACCAGCCAGAGGCGCACCAGAGCAATCAGGATGCCATGCACACACACCAGAGACGAAGTGAAGAAGAAGAAGAGGTTCTTAGTTTATAACGTACCCCAAACACGAAATTCCTGTGGGAAATCCACAGCTGACCTGACAGTCCATTATTTCAAGGGGTGCAAGTGTGCTGTTGTGTGGTGCTGTTTTTTAGTGTCCATCTAGTGTCTTCTAACCCTAACCCTAACCCAAAACTTGGCTGTAGATAAATCGCGAGAAACTACAACCTGAAAACCCTAGAATTTATTGGGAATGTCTCCCGTGACGTAGTCGTGACGTCAGGGGTAAGTTATAAATTAAGTATAGAAGAAGAATCATTTCAAGGAAAAAAACTCAATTGAGTCTACTTTCCATTGTAAGGTTGGCACCTCAATCAGCAAATTTAAACAACATGTGTATTAATGGCAATTAAACATCAGCTGTCATTTTCCTCTACACCAGAGGTTCCCAATTAGATACGACCTGCGGACCCTTCTGATCTTCAAAGGGCTGCTATGGATCCCATACATTTTAACAAATTCATTCATCGACCTGATGTGATATGTCACACAGGGCTCACAGTCTTTTCTTCCATTCTGTTCTTTTTTCTTCTTCTTCTTCGTGTTCACCAGCTGTAAACTCTGGCGGGAAGTTCTGGTTGTTAGTCCACTTCTGGTCTGCAGTCCTGTTCCAGAGCCTGAGTGTTGCGTGTGCATCCGTTTTACAGATCTGACTCATCTGTATGCAGACTGATGGTTCCTTGCCTCTCGGCAGATGCACTCCGACTTTGAAGGAAGCTCCCAATTAGTCGACTCTTACGACATGCTTTTAGGTAAGCAGTGGGTCTATTCTTGTTTTCCTTATAACAGGGCCCCGGAACCCACAAGAGAATCATGTGCATCAGTTCAATATCATGGATGGAATTTAGTCCAGTAGCTTTGGCCTCTCCTATCAATGTTCATATTTGGGTTTCATTTGAGCGTCCTCGCCTCCTTAATCCCTTTATTTCCCATGTTAATGCCTGTTCAGTGATTCTCTGCTAGTTTCTTCTCAGGATGTGTCCAATGTAGTGCCATCTTCTCTGTCTTATAACTGTTGATACTAGTGGTTTCTTCTCAGGATGTGTCCAATGTAGCGCCATCTTCACTGTCTTATAACTGTTGATACTAGTGGTTTCTTCTCAGGATGTGTCCAATGTAGCACCATCTTCACTGTCTTATAACTGTTGATACTAGTGGTTTCTTCTCAGGATGTGTCCAATGTAGCACCATCTTCTCTGTCTTATAACTGTTGATACTAGTGGTTTCTTCTCAGGATGTGTTCAATGTAGCGCCATCTTCACTGTCTTAAAACTGTTGATACTAGTGGTTTCTTCTCAGGATGTGTCCAATGTAGCGCCATCTTCTCTGTCTTATAACTGTTGATACTAGTTGTTTCTTCTCAGGATGTGTCCAAAGTTGCGCCATCTTCTCTGTCTCATAAACATTGATACTAGTGGTTTCTTCTCAGGATGTGTTCAAATTAGCGCCATCTTTTCTGTCTTTTAACTGTTGATACTAGTGGTTTCTTCTCAGGATGTGTTCAATGTAGCGCCATCTTCTCTGTCTTATAAACATTGATACTAGTGGTTTCTTCTCAGGATGTGTCCAATGTAGCGCCATCTTCACTGTCTTTTAACTGTTGATACTAGTGGTTGCCCAGAAATTCTCTTATTTCTTCACCATTTTCGAATCATCACAGTTTATTTTTCATTATTTTTCTCAGACATTTGTTTTTGAACGCATTTAACTTTTGTTTAATGTATTTAGTGGATCTCCAACTTTCATTCGCATATGTTAAAACTGAAATAACGTTAGAATTGAAAAAATGTAAATTGGTTTTTTAGAACTAAACAAATCAGAGTTCCAAATTTTGTTAAAGCTATTAAAAGCTGCTGATTTTTTGCTAATGTGTGTCATAATTACTTTCTTTGTACTTCATTCACTATCAAAATTAATTAAACATTGTAATAGTCGGATTGTCGGCTCTGTGGCTAAGTCGACGCGAACGCTTCATAATGTCGGGTTTGATTCCAGCTGCGGGCCACGCGCCATGCGTTGGTTTCGACAGTGGTATCAAGAAAGCCGACCGTCCAGAAAGCAATGGCAAACTAGTGGACGTAAATTTGCCTAGAGAAACCACACAACAGCCAGGGGCTGTTAGGGTTCGTTCTGCATCATCCTGTAAAGGATACGCAACTAACCTTAATAGTCAGATTAAAAAAATAAAAAATAAAAATTCAGTGAAATCCCAGACCCTCCTGATTTATAAAGGGTCTGCCATGGATCTCATACTTCATGGACTACAAATTGGGAACCATTGCTTCCATCACTGTTCCCTGATTGTTTTAGGCTAATGTGCAGCTTTTTAGGAAACAAATTCTGAGGTACTCCCTTGAAATCAACTTTAAAAAAAAAAATACAAACAAAAAAACACGATGTGTAATGATAAATGTGTGCTCTTTAATGTGTCTTTTTTAATGTCTTATACAACACAGTTTAAAACAAACAAACAAAGAAAAAAAAGAGAAAGGGAGAGAGGGGGGGGAGAGACAGAGAGAGAGACAGAGAGAGAGAGGGACAGAGAGAGAGAGAGAGAGAGAGAGAGAGAGAGAGAGAGAGAGAGAGAGAGAGAGAGAGAGAGAGAGAGAGAGAGAGAGAGAGCTATGCTGTTGTAGGACATCTTGAAGTTTGAAGCTGTAATAACACAAACTCGTTTAAGACAAACACAAAGCCAACTTTCTGGGGTCTTTCAGATTGAGGAATCAGGGCCGCCTGGCTATTGCTGTCACACAGATTACGATTTTATTTTTTGCCCCCAACAGAACAAAAATTCTCTGCCAAGGATTCGAACCTCAGTCGCCCATAGGAAAGCCCCGCTTTCTTTGAGGTTGGGCCAGCCGCTCCTCAACACTGTTAACATGAATATACAATGTTTGTTTTAACAGGGATGTATAATACAGCTATCAGGCCCTGAATACACAGGATATTTATATGGGAAATAACAGATATATATAGATGGAAATAAAGACGTGCATCACTCACCATCTTGTAACCGTAACCTGACGCCTGTAACTTTGTGTCCTGACAGTCCACCCTTCTCACACACTCGAAGGAAGCCCTGAATAGATGGTGATTAGATGAATAGTTGTCAATAGTTTGAATACTAAATTATTTTATTTATTTATGTAACACCACTTAATGGTTATTATGGGAAATTATGAGAATAAATTGACTAAAACACTAACAACAGCAAAAAAAAAAAAAAAAAAAATTGGAAAAAAGATCATTAAACGAAATATTTAAAAAACCCAAATAAATAAGAGATCAGTGATAGCTTTTCATTATTTCATGCACAAATGTAAGCAAAGGTAGTGATACATTTTGCAGCATACGTGAAATGAGGAAAAGCATGGTAACCCAGTTCAGTTTGCAACAAACTTGATGTTTATGACAGTTCATTACATGTAAGGTTATGAAAAATCTCCGATTCAACAGATCAGGTGCACTACTTTCAATCTGCATATACACATGTATGTTCGTTACTGGTACCGCCTCTGATTCGGGATTTTCTTCAGCCAGAGGTAAAAATAAAATCATAACCTGTACAGTTCAAGGTGGCAGCACTAGCCACTGGGCCTTAAATCTTCAGGCTCAAAGACACCAACTTCCCCCATACACCACACAATTTGTAAATATACGTATCAAAGGTTGATTTAAAAAATTTTTTTTTTTAGTGGTACCTTCATCATCTTTTCCAGAGATAGTGCTATGTTGTGCTACAAAGAGGCACAGAAATCACAGTCCCTGGTGATGGCACTTGTGATTTCAGTACCATTGTTTGTATTTAACTGCTTCTTCTCAGATGTACACATTCACAAAAAAAACAATTAGAAGGGTGATGTTCTTCATCTCTCTAGCACAAAGCCAGGGCAGTACTGTAAAGACCATTTGTCTCTTATGCAGTATGCATGCTTTGTTTACTCCAACAAAAAGGTAACACCAACATGTTTAGAACAACTCAAACTGCAAAAGCTGTCTGAAGAGACAGCATACCCTGTGGGTACCAGTTGGAGCTGTGAGACAGGAAAAGCATGCGGGAGCCACCCATTGTTACATCAGCCAGAACAGAATAGTTGTTAACCTAAAAACATTTGGAGACATACTCAGGAGCAGATTGGAGCACTTATGGTCATATCTGATGTGCGATGAAGATGATCTTCAAACGAACAATTCTTATATCCCCTACGTAACATATTTACAATACTCAAACTCTGGGCAAGTCCATTTTTTAATTGCCTGCCTCAACAATCAAACTGCACTCCTGAGGGGCCCACAATGGATGACACTGCTCTAAACAAAAGGTAACATCAGTATGTTTAGAACAAAGCAAGCTGCAAAAGCTCCCAAAAAAATAGATCTGTCTGATGTCCTGTCAGTTTCACTCCTAGATCAGCTCTCAACCAAGGCTAAGGGCCTGGTCTGCCTTATAATAACATGAAATTTTCAGTTTGTATTTTCTCTTTCGGCACACGAACTGATACATGTTGCAGGAGATCATGGATTATGGAGAGGCATGATCGCCCACGCCAGTCGGCAAGGCACCTGATGATGATGATGACTCTCTTTCTAGGATAATACATCTGAGTCAGAACAAGTGAACTGAGTCTAGCAAACTGTTTGCTTATTTTGGACGCCTTTATCCTCAGATCCATGATCAATTACAAAAACAAAAAGAATGAAAACACATGTTATAGTAAGCAAGCAATAAACAAAAAAAGAAATACTTACAGCCTTCACCGAGGGAATGAACTGCCTGGGTACATTAGTTCCAACAACCTCACTGACAAAATCCAGTTTTGTATTTTCTTCAACAGGCAAGGGCTAATATGGGGTGGGAAAAAAATATTACATCAGATGTAAGAATTAACATCTCTAGAAAATCTTATGTTAGGATTTCTGCTAAATACTTTCCTCTGTGGCTCCCAGGGCACCACGTTGGAGAAAAGAGAATATACCCACCGCCGCCTGCGCCTCATTCCAACAAGCATGTTGTAGGAAGTGGCTAACTGGGGTGCTTCCTTTAAAGTTGGAGCACATCTGTATGAGAGGCAAGGAACCAACAGTCTACATACAAATAAGCAAAATCTGTAAAATGGATGTACACATAAAACTAAAGTTCTGGATCAAGACCAAAGTCCAGCAGTGGACAAACAACCAGAACTTTTGGTCTGTAAACGCGAAGAAGAAGAGGTTAAACATTACAACAGTTCTAATCTAATCAAAAACTAAATGTTACTTTACTTTCAAATCTAATTCGTTACATCTATCATTAGTATATTAAAACTCGTAGCGAATCAAGAACCAGGTGGACAGATAATATCAAACTCCCAGTTTGGGTTACAGGACCCTACAGAAATGGGGGGGGGGGGGGGGGGGGGGGAGGGGGGGGGGGGGGGGTTGAAGAACAGACTCTTGCTTAAGCCTACCCCACCTACATATGGTGGACCTTGTTATCCCCAATAATCCAATGGAAGTTTGCCTCTCACTTCCATCTTCAGAAAACTGGAGAATGCGACAGAAGGTGAGTTAGAAAATGTTGGTTTACTGAACCAATAATTAACATCACTACACTTGGGACATTCCCACATATGCACCGTCCCCTTCTTCAGTAACCAAGAAGAGTTGACATAATGATGTTACCAGTTGTAGCCTGATTAAAAGTCCACTTCTGTTTCAACTTCAATGTTAAATATCTTCCAGAATCTTTGCATTACCCCGTTGAACGAGTCTTTCAGTATATGGATTCCTGATTTTTTTTTTTTTTTTTGCACTGTCCCTTTGATCCCATAGAGACTTTACCACATCTTCTTTATCATACAGTATCTCACTGCTCAGAGGAGCGGTAGCAGCTAATCTATCAGGCTCCTTGTTTCCTTGCACACCTGAATATCTGGAACAGAAAATCCATGATCTGGGACTTACCAAGTGATGCAAGCCACTATGTGCACAGGACACCAATTTCAATTTTCAGAAGCATGTGAGTCTGTTAAAATTAAACCATTTTGGACTGTGCTGCTCTCAAGCCATCGGAAAGCTGCCTTTACCGCCTCCACCTCCATTCTCATACTGGATGTTGTATGCGAGGCTCTCTGTTTTCAAGCAGTGCCTATTCACCTTTGCAATAAAACTCCACCTGCTTTTCTTACCTCTCACTAACAGACCCATTTGTATATATCATGATGTCACCTGGGCGTGAATTTTCACTGATCAGCTCTTGCATCGCTGACTCTATTTCAACAGCTATCCGTTCCAGGCACCCTTGGCCCAAGGTAAAACTATCACTCTGTGAAAGTCTGTTGTACTGGGTGGCAATGTAACCCATTCTTCACCACGTGCTATCTTGTCAGTAGCACCAAAAGTTCTGATCGTTACTTCTGCTTGTGCCATCCAAGCGCCATCTTTTTTTTAAATCACTGTCCTTTGCTATCTCCTAAGGCCCAATGCAGAAGGTGTTCCCTGTCGGCTGCAATTTCAAGGAACATTTTCACCTGTAAAACCTTAGATCTATCATATAAGTCCACATCACAACATCACCCTCAAAGCATTAGTCTAATGAAACAGACTGCTAGAAAATATTAGTCTAATGATACAGACTGCTAGAAAATATTAGTCTAATGAAACAGACTGCTAGAAAATGATATCCTAGTAACAAACAAATAAACAAACAAAAAAAACCAAATAAAACTTGTTACATTTCAGAGGAAAACACTGCTACTGGGGGGAAAAAAAGCAGGCTTGTGGGACAAAGAGAATGTGAAGAAGAGTAAAAGATAATAAAAGTGGTAAAATTGAACTTCACCTACCTCCACTACGCCAATAACTCTGGCATACTGTCCTTGACCTCCGGACTGCTTCTTGTGCAGATAATCAAACCTACAATTGAAAAAAAAAAATAATTTGCTTTATTTTGAACCAAAGATAAGTTAGCTATTTCAGAACCAAGCAACACATACATTCATTAATTAGTCCAAAGAATGTGCTCATTTCAGACTCTTTTACAGAAGAGTTTTGCTCATTAACTCATCAATCTGAACTGTCAGTTTTATTCCTTCTGTACTTAGTGTTATTATTTTAATATCCTTGGGGGGGGGGGGGGGGGGGGGGAGGGGCGTGGGGTTAAACACTGGCTCTCAGGATATAAGGAGTAAGCAGTAAATTATAGACCAGTAATGAAAGAGTTATATGATTAAACAATACACTGCAACACAGATTTAAATACATAGAACATAATTAATTTAAAATCACATTAAAAACTACCATCTTCTCTTGTTCCAGTTACCTTAAGTGAAGCACTTCTTTTTTGTTTGTTTTTCCTTTAGCTTATGCCATGAAGTATCGCACAGAGGAGTTAGATGTAGTTTCCTTTCTGTTGCTAGTTGCTTAGATTGTTTCAATGTCATATTGCGTTCCTGTAGTGTCTCTTTTACTCCCTCCATCCATGTTTTTCTTTGTTGGCCTCTTGACTTGTAAGTTGCTGTTCTCATGTAATAAGTACACTCTGGCTCAGAGGAGAACTAAGTAAAAACCCGGGGGCAACATCTGGCCTGTCCAGCAGTTTTTACTGGCCCGCAATGGTGGTGTAAAACTGCTAATATAATTTGGCCCATGAATTCACAAAATAGTAGAACACAAAAAACAACATTCTACAAGTTGGTCTTTACTTTTTTAAAAATCCTGTCGCCCGAAAAGCAGTGAACCCAGCATTTCCTATTATAACTCATTCATGGAAATGCTGCCTACCCGGCATGGCTGTAATGACTTGTCAGGGATCACCAAAGCAACTTATAATGAAGCACAAAACATGAATCCTTTCAAATGAAATACACAAATCTCACTGATTCTTTTGTTTAAATTCTGACAAGACACAGTGAAATATGCCAGGTAACTATCTGTGCAATATATTGTTTTGTCCTCAATATTTCAATGCCCTATGGGAAAACACTGTTTTGAATCAAGTATTCCCGTGTGGGTCTTGGGGCCATATTTGGGGGTGGGGTGGTGGGAAGGAACAGACCCACTGCCAGCTAAAAAACCTGTCATACAAGATGATTAATTAGGGTTTTCCTTTGAAGTCAGTGCATCTGCCTGATAGGCGGAGAACCAACAGCCTGCATACAAATAAGCCAGATCTGTAAAACAGAGATGCACATGAAAGTCCAGTTCTGGAACAAGACCAAAGTCCAGAAGCTGACAAACAACCAGAACTTTCCACAGGAGTTTATAGCCAGGGAACGCTAAGAAGAACAAAAGAAGTAGAGGAATCAAGTACTTACTGACAAGGTGCCACCAGTGTCTCTCTAAAGGCTACTTTGGGTTTTCCTAAGACACACTTAGCTCCATATTCTCGCTCCAGCCTCTGGAAACAAGGATAAACATGATTATATGCTCTTCCAGTACCAGAAAATCAACCATATGCTTACTGATGGCTCTACCATCATCCTTTTTTTAATGACAATTGTTTCTTAGGCTTTGTAATCTATACGTCCTTTCCATTCTATCCGGTAAAATTGTTTTAACATAATCCGCTTGGTTAAGTCAACAAGACTGGCTTGCAGTGGTGGTGTAAAACTGCTAATATAATTTGACCTGCAAACTCACAAAATAGCATAACCAAAAAAAAAAAATGTTTGTATGCCTCCAAATCTTTGATTCTGTAAGTAAAACAACCAGAATTTTCAGCTGGTGAATGTGAAGAAGATCCTTTTCAAGCCATAGGCACATCGGGGATATGTTTAATGTTACACTTATATTTTATAGAACAGTCAGTACCTGGTCAAAATTCAACCTGCCATTTTTACTTCCAAGGATATTTTTCTCTAACAAGTTTTGGCGTGTCTTACCTGTGCCAAGGTAATTTATTTTAAATATTTCTCCAGACAAGGATCTGAACTCAAGATCTTCATACCTGAGGCACAAAACAGGACCACAAGTGTATCCTACACCAGGGCTATTCAACCGGCAAGTGGCATGTGAATCATTGTCAGCTGTATTATATTAATGATCCTTCTTTGGAAGCTGGGGAGATGTGGTTTTATAAACGGATGATGAGAACACCCTGGACACATAAAAAGAGTAATGATGATGTCTTGAAAGAAACTGACCCATGAAGAAAACTAACTGCCCACATTAAGAAAGAATCAATCTACATTCTTGGGTCATGTGATAAGAAGGAGAAAACTGGAGTTCATCGTAACAGTAGAAAAGTTGGAGGGGAGAAGAGGCAGAGGGAGACTGAGAGAAAAGATGCTGGACAGTTTGACATCATGGCATGGAAGATCATCTGTTTCAGAGTTGACTGAAAGTACATGAGAGAGAAGGTTATGGATAGACATGACTACCAACGCCACAAGGCATGGACTATGGAAGACCATCTGTGTCAGAGTTGACTGACAGTCCATGAAACAGAAGGTTGTGGATAGACATGACTACCAATGCCACAAGGCATGGACTATGGAAGACCATCTGTGTCAGAGTTGACTGATAGTACATGAGACAGAAAGTTGTGGATAGACATGACTACCAATGTCACAAAGCATGGACTTTAAGAAGAAGAATGATCTTTCAATAGTGGGGATTGAACCTCTGGCCCATGAAGGTCCCCATTTTCAATATGTTGGCCCCTGAGTGAACTTTGTTAGATGGTCCTGCCCTACACAATGCCTGATAGGATCTGAATTTCTTTTGAAGCCATACATCTGCCCGAGAGGTGAGAAACCAACAGTCTGCACACAAATAAGTCCAATCTGTAAAATGGGTGCCCTTGCAAACTCAGGTCCTGGAACAAAGCCTAACTCCAGAAGTGGATGAGTAACCAGGACTTCCTGTAGGAATTAAGAGCCAGAAAACATGAAGAAGAAGAAGGCTGAAGATGATAATAGTTTATTTGGAATGAAGAGTAAGCAAACTCTGGCACACACAACCAAGATATTGAACCCCCCCCCCCCCCCTTTTCCAAAAATGGGGGGGGGGGGGGGGGTGTGGTGGATGTTTTAAAGAGAAATAACATTGAAAACTAGTGACAAACAATGTTTAAGTAGCATGAGTGAAGACAAAGAGATAAATACCTGGGTTGGCTAGGTTACATGACAAAAGTGAGACAAGAATAAAGACTGATCCCCAAGTGGTGATCATGTGATATGATGAACTATATACAATTATCAGCAAGGCAAATATTGATTATGAGGAACTGCATCCTACAGCAAGAGGAATTAGGTAAAAACAAAGCAGGAAGTGAAGGATAAGTCGACTAAAGTGGAGACGATCGACTTCACTACACTGAGCTTTATTCTAGATGGCTCAGTCTCTCTCCAATGAACAGCCAGCCACCTACTGAGAGTGTTAAAAAAAGAAGGAACTTTGTAGCTCCAGCAGCAATCCTTCAGATGCCCATAAAAACTGTACTTATGAAATGAATGCCGTACAGTGAAATGAACCTTAACCTTTAGAGTGCGAGGCAAATGGCTTGACCACATCACCAAGAAGACCACCCCCCTCCCCACCTTAAAAAAAATACAAAGTAGGAACTCTGAAGCTCCAACAACAATCCCCCAGATGTCCATAGAAACTGCACTTGTGCAATAAATTTTATTAAGAAGGAGAGAGTAGAAGAAAGGGAAAGTCAGAATAGAAGGAGAGACTAGAAGAGAGAGATAGTCAGAATAGAAGGAGAGACTAGAAGAGAGAGATAGTCAAAATTACCTGAGCATAGATATCCAGATGCAACTCTCCCATGCCTGATGCAATGGTCTCCTTGGACTCGTTATCCCATAATACTCGGAAGGTGGGGTCTTCTTTGGAAAACCTGCTGATCCCCCTAGAGAACTGTTCTATGTCAGCGCTCTTGACTGGCTTGATTGACATCGAGATAACTGGGTCAGCTATAAACATAGATTCCTGAGGTCCGCAAGAAAGAAAAAATACACTGACTCTTAGTAAAGGTAATCTCATAAGTTAGGTAGTTAGTAAGTTGACTGAAAGATTACCCTCACTGCACATCGGACAAGCCATAAGCGCTCTGATCCCATCTTCAGTATATCCTTAAGCATCTAGCGACTGATAACACTGGTTCTGTGTTGGTTTACTATTCTTCTTTGGTTACCTGTATAGTATTCATGTTTAGCGATATCTCTTTTGACCTGAATATAGTCTTTTGTGTGTTGCCAATTCAACATCGTCTCCTGAATCATCTTCTCGTCCTGCCTCCATGACAGCATTGTGAATGTCATCCCCAGCATGACAATGTTCCATTCCATTGTTTTTCCTGTACCTACCGTGGCTCTGCCAGCAAGCCAATCCGCTCGTTCATTCCCTTTTACCAAGGAGTGTCCTGGCACAAAAATGAAACTAATTTCTTCTAGCTGAGATTTCCTCTGTGACTCGAACCATTTCCTTCAAATCCACCCTGTCTCTATCTTCTTAAGCATACTCACAGAATCACTTAGAAAGCATGCATGGGGAAAAATGATGTGTCTCTAGCTACATCATTGCTTTTGTTACCACCTTCACCTCCATGGTCAATTACTTGTAATGGGGACAAAAGCCCCGCTGTCTTCTTTTACAGTTTTCCCTTGAAAAAGAACTGTGAAAGCCCATGAACTTTGTATGTGTCGAACAACAGATCCACCAGTGTAGATAACTGCACTTCCATCAGCAGTATTTTCAAAAATTAAGGCTTGAACTTCTGCCTCAACCACCAACGGGCCTTGTGCTGCAATCTCCACCCAATTTTGTCTGAAAGGGATTTATCCCACTCTGCTGGCATTCGTACCCATTCCTCGTCAGGTTCTATGTCCTCAGTTTAAAAAAAACTTGTTGAATACTGTCCTCCACCTGACCCACCCAGGGTTTTCCTCTTTTTAACTTACTACCCTTCTTCCTGCCAATTTTACTGTGCAATGGATGGTGTGTCAGCTGTGATACATAGATACGCACATGCTCGGCAGATTACTGTTCGCACTTCTATGGTTGGAAGATCAAAGAGCTAATGCAAAGCTCTGCATGCTGTATTTTTTGTGCACCCAAGTATGATGCGTAATCTCACAAGCAGTTAGGGACTCTAAACTTTGCCCACGTGGACAGGCACCACAAAATAACTGAACACGGACTGCAGACATGCTCGCTACATGCAGCAGAAAGATCCCAGGTCTGACCAGTTGGCACTCTGGTGGGAACCAAGCCGTGTTTACATTGGTGGATGTGTCACACTAAAACTTTTATAGAGACCTGTGGCTGTCTCATCTGAAAACCAGCGGCTGAGAGAATGAAAGGAAGAAGACAAGAAATTACTGATATTGAGGGTGGGAAGTGTAAGAACATTATTTATTGCCGATTAATGATTTTAGAGTCAACATCATAACACACCGGGCATGTTCACAGAGGCTGTCTCCCACAGCAACAGTCTTAAGGTGTAGATGCTAACAGTTCCTATAGCACACTGATTATACACACATACTACTCTTCCTTTCATGTGTCCTTCCTTATTGGATCCACTCCTTACTCCATGTTCAGACATTTTTACACGGGTTATTTCACCTAACCTCATGTCTTCTTTCAAAATTCACTCATAGTCGTCAGAATGTCTCCTTTGTCAAGAAGGAGTGCTCCTGTAGCCACCACTTTTGTAGGACAAAAAAAAAAATCTGCTTTGTCATTTTCTCACACTCCTGCATATCCATACTCGAGACCACATATTACAGGATGGGGTGTCCTGTTCCCTTTCTCATCGCTTCTCCTCCCCAGTCAATTCTAAAAAATGGCACACATTTTTATAAGGTTCAGCAGACAACAGAGCCATGCTGAACAACAGGCCAGTCATAATTTTATGAAACTGCAGTTCGCAACATAAAACCCCCTTTTGTACAGTCAAAAAGCATGCCAAATGAAATCTGCAGGTCACATCATACACTTAGCTTAGCTGAGTTGTGGTAGCTGGGTTGCCGAACTAATATAAAACCAACTACCCCCCCCCCCCCCCCCCCCAAAAGGAGTAATAAAAGTGAAAAGGAATGTAAGATTTCTGTTTTTTATGTGTGTGTAAGCTGTTAACAATAACAAGAAAGCAATGTTACCAGTAACTAGAATGCAGTAGAAAAGTAACAAATAAAACATTAAAAACCAGAAACATTCACAAAACAAAATTGATCTATTTCTATCAATAAGAAGATAAATAAAAATTATCACAATGCCAACTGTAATCAAAATGTATACTGTTCTACCCATACCATAGAGAGATTGAGGTTTCCTCGCATGACAAAAGTGTCTCCACTAGAGCAGTCAATACCAAACAAAGCACAGATGTCTCCAGCAAACACTTCATTCACATCCTGAAAAAATGTACAAACATCTTAGTAACATTCTGAAAAAATATACCAACATCTCAGTAACAGCACACACTTTGGTCATATACTGAAAAATCTGACCAAATTTTAGTAATATCAAACTCCACGGTCACACCTGGACAAAAATGTACCAATATCTTAGTAACAACACCGAGGTCACATTTTGAAAAAATGTACCAACATCTTAGTAACAGCAAACACCTCGGTCATATCCAAAATAATGTACCAACATCTTAGTAACAGCAAACACCTCGGTCATATCCAAAAAAATGTATCAAAATCCTAGTAACAGCCTGAAAACAGACTGGTTGGTTCTGCGTCACTCAGTGATAAAATGAAGCATGACAAGCTAGATGCTTTCAAGGCCCTTTGGGAGCGAGTGCAACAAGAAGTGACCAGGGTTTCTGGGTGACACTTCACACTCAGAGGAAAAGGCAAGATGAACATACAATCAGACTTTTTCTGGTACCATCGGAGCTGGAACTCTTCACGGGCTGATGAAGATGGGGATGGAGTGCTTTAGGAAATGCTATGAGTGCTGGCACGTCAATTCATTGAAAATCAGCTCGCCACGTGAAAAGTTCTGACGCACACACTTAAAAATGAGTGACTGCAGTCGAGATGATATACATAAAAGCCAGTAAACACAAAATAATCTATGATTTATCCAACTCAAAGGAGGGAAAGGAAAAGACATGGACCAAAGTATATAATAAATAAACACAGCATTATGCTGGAGAATGACCCAAAAGGATGCAGACAAGCTATCCACCTTCCACCACAGGTCTACGCAGAACTATTAAAATTTTCTGGCCAGATACAATCTCAAACACTAAATTAGTTCAAGTCACAAACTAAGAAACTCTAGACAGTATGATAACAAATAGAAGATGGAAATGGCTTGGCCACGTCATGAGAATGAATCCTGGTATACCTGCCAAAACAGCTCTCACTTGGACACCAGAGGGAAGGAGAAAGAAGGGTGCTCAAAAAACAACATGGAGGCGAACAAAGGAAAGTGAACTGAGTGTAACACTTCTGACATGGAAAATTGCACTGCAGATTCCACAGGACAGGAAAGTCCTTTCTGAAGCCTTTTATGCCACTAGGCATAAAGAGAAGTGACTGATATGTTTCAATATAGTCGCAGTATTAATACTGACTTAGCTAGTAAATGTGCAGACAAATCTATGAATGACTAAAATTGTTCGATGTCCGCAAAAATGAGGTTGCCTGACAACCCTACCATTAAAACATGTAACGATTAAATTTTTTTTTTCTTCAATTGATTAGAATAAAAGCCACAATACTATTTATGGCGTATGACCTGAATAATAAATAAACAAATACAATAATAGCAACAACAAGAACTCAACAAGGTCAACCCTGAATAAGAAAGAGATAACAGGGAATAATATAGATAGAAAAAACTATTATGAAATGAAACATTCAAGAAAGAACAAAGAAAAGAGGGAATGTAAAAATTAAGTTTATATATATATATATGTGTGTGTGTATATATATATATATATATATATATTATATATATATATATATATATATATTATATATATATATATATATATATATATATATATATATAATATATATATATATATATATATATATATATATACACACACATATGTAAATGGTGAAGAAATTTTAAAAGTCAAAAACTTTGAATATCTAGGCTCTATAATAAATAGCAATGGAGACTGTTTGGCGGAAATTAAAAGGAGTATGGTCATAGCAATGCAAAAATTAAACAGTCTAAAAAGTCTATGGTTAAGCACCAGCAAGGAGATCAAAATTAGAATTTTGAGAGCATGCATCTTCCCTGTAGCAACATACGGATGTGAGTCGTGAACTATCTCCCAGTCCTTAAGAAATAGAATAGGGGCTTTTAAGTTGAAATGCTATAGAATGATTCTCAGAATATCTTGGACAAAGAAGAGGAGAAATACTGACATCTTGAAAAATCTGAACATAAAGGAAGATTGGCTAATAAACAGCATCCTGTCTCGGAAGCTGAAATATTTTGGTCATATCAAGTGCCACAGCGGATTGGAATTTTTTTTAGCAGAAGGCATGGTACCAGGAAGGAGGGGCAGGGGCCGACCAACACAAAGATGGGCACAGGATATAAGTGACACTTTGAGTATGAAAGTACATGAAGCGGGAGAGCTGGCGAGAGACCGAGTTTCTTTCAGGCAGACCGTGATGAGAGCGACGTACTGCAAAGGACCTGCTACATAATGATGATATATATACATATATATATATATTTATACACACACACTCATAAATATGCTGAACACTGATCCGTGCAGAGCTATGAATTTTGTTTGGGGACTGAAAACCAAATCTGTTTAACAGTTGTTGAAGTGTCCCCAGGATATGTGCAGGACTTACCTCCATTTCATCAGCATTCATTCGCACAAGTCTCTGTATTCTCGTCTTTTTCTGAGTTCTAGTGTTAATGATTGTGTCCCCTTTCTTCAGGCCTCCTTGATAGACCCTCACGTAGGTTAGCTGCCCAAACTTGCCAGCCTGTATAGAGTAAGAATGAATCTTATGTTAATAAATATTCTCTGTTTAGAACTACAATTTTATGATGCAAGAATTTAAACAAATAAATTAACAGAGTGCAGTGAATTAATATTCACATACATAAACAAACACAGCTTGAAGAACCTATGACACAGCATCTACAAGCAGGTTAGGTAAACATTTTGAATGTTGAATTAAGAATCAACAACATAGCACTCAGGACACCCCATAAGCGCTCCATCCCTATCTTCAGCAGCAAACGAAGAGCTCCAATTCCGATGGCACCAGTAACTGTCTGATTGTATATCTGTATCCCATCCCTTGAGTGTTGAACGTCGGCCAGATCACCTGGTAACTCTTTGCAGCGTCATTCTCCTCAGACCATAATGATCTATAAGTGCTTCCACACTGTTCACTCGCTTCCATAGGGCACTCACATCATCTAACTTGTCATACATCAGTTCACCACCAAGTGGTGTAGAACTGACCAATCTATCTGGCTGTTCATTTCCCAACACACCGGCATGACCTGGAGAGAATATCTAAAGGATACTAACTACCTGAAACCTCTGAAGTGATAATTGCCACTCTGCACAGAGCATACCTGTCTCCACCTTTCTCAGCATGCTCTGTGAGTCAGTGACAATCACGACATGTGTGTACAGCTGATTTTCAAGTCAGCAGAAGGCAGCAGTGACTGCCTCCACCTCTATTCTCAAACTAGACATTGTGATATCAAATGCCAGGCTTTGCTGCTCTAAGCCACGTCCATTCGCCTTTGCTATAAACCCCCATGCAATTCGTCTGCCCCTCAACAGAGCCATCTGTATAGATAATCACATCACTTGGGTAAACATTTTGAGATCATGCATCTTTCACCAAGCAACTTATGGATGTGAGTCGTGGACTCTTAGTTTTTGAAGAAAAAAAATCAGAGCTTCTGAACTGAAATGCTACAGCAATATTCTTAGAATACCGTGGACCATGAAGAAGAACAACACATAAATCCTTGAACATCAAGCAGAACTGGCTCGTAAACAGCATCCTCTCCAAAAAAGTTGAGGTATTCAGGACATGTCAAAAGCTTAGTGGTCTGGAGAGAATGGTGATGAAGGGTGCAGTTTCCAGAAAACAAAGCAGAGACCAACCTCAGCAAATATGGATGCAGGACAATAAAGATGCATTAGCTATGAAAGAACACAGGGCTGGAGAACTGGCTAAAGAGACTTTCAACTGTGCTGTGAAGAGAGTGACGTTCTGTAAAGGACACGATGACTGAGAAAAAAATGTATCCCGCCAAAATGGGTTTTCAGTGCATCATGTTGTATGCTGAACTATGTGAGCACCCTATTGCAGCTGCTACAGAGTCAGCCGGTACTTGCCTTTCACCTCTAATCATCTCCACCTGCTGCATGGATGCGTCTGTTGCAATCTCAATAGGACGAAGAGATTAGACTTCATCAACAATCGGAGTGTCCTTAAGAAATTTTATTTACCCAGCTATGCACCACTTTACGGATAAATATTTCTCAGTATAAACAGGAAAAATTTTCTTCTGAATGTCCTTTGCAGGCAGCCCTTTTGCGTAAAAAAAAAACAGGGCAACAGCATATATTTCTTTGAGGGTACACTCTGTAAGTCACCATTTTGTTTCTGTGCTGCGAATGCTCATGCAACACCTAGCGCCACCTAACAAACTGAGACATAAAGTCTGATGCTACTGTCACCTAATGACACCTTTAAAAACCACCAACAACACTTTCATGCTATCCCGTAACCATTTGTGACTTCATCATCATCAGTTCTCGTTATGCCTAGTGGCACATGAGGCTTCAGAGAAGACTTTCCATGCTTTTCCTGTCCTGTGCAATCTTCAGTGCAGTTTTCTATGTCAGAGATGCCGCACTCAGGTCACTTTCCATCGTTCGTCTCCATGTTGTTTTTGGGCGCCCCTGTTTTATCTTTCCCTCTGGTGTCCATGTGAGAGCTGTTTTGGCAGGTAAATCAGAAATCATAACGTGGCCAAGCCATTTCCATCTTCTCTTGGTAATCATACTGTCTAAAGTTTCTTGGTTTGTGGCTTGAAGTAGTTTAGTGTTTGAGATTGTAACTGGCCAGAAAATTTTGATAATTCTACGTAGACATGTGTGGTGGAAGGTAGACAGCTTGTGTGCATCCTTTTTGGTCATTCTCCAGTATTCCGCTCCATAAAGAAGAACTGGCAAAATGATACTCTTGTAGAGTCGGAGTTTTGTTCCTCTGCAGTAATTGTTGGACTTCCAGACTTGCCTCATCCTTACAAAAGCAGCTCTAGCTTTGTTCAGGCGTGACTGTATGTCTTCCTCTGTCCCTCCCAGTAGGTGCACCACACTGCCAAGATATGTGAAATGTTCTACATTTTCAAGCGATTGGTTACTTATGGTCTGGTTGTTGGTTTGGACTATTTGTCATGATCTTAGTTTTCTTTGTATTTATTCTCAGTCCCACCATTTCTGCTGTGCAATGTAGTCTGTTACTTTTCTCTTGTATATGTTCATGTTTTATGTGCTATATCATCCACATCCCTGTCTTACACCTGACTTTACTGGGAAGGACGTATTGCAATTTTTTATACTGCAGGAAAAGTCTTTATAGAAGACAGCAATTATGTTGACTATTTATTCTGGAATTCCATAATGTCGTAAAATTATCCACCGTCTCTATTTGTGACTTACTTATTGACTTTCCCCTCATATTTCAAGATCAAACATGAGGAAATTTGAACAACAAAATGAAAAAAAAAAATTTACAATTAAATAAAAAACAGAACTTACCTCCAGTTTGAATGCTAGACCCACAAATGGTGCTTCAGATGAACGTGCTGGGTTTAAAACCACCTTCTTAGGGTTTTCAACTCTGCAAAATTAAAGATTAGCAACCAAATAGATACAGAAGTAAGAAGTAAAAATATGTTCATTAAGTCTTACAATTCTTCAACTTTGTAAAATCAAAGATTAGCCACAAAACAGAAACATTTTCATAATAAAGTTTTGGAATGTTTCAACTTTGCACGGGAGCATTTACAGGAATTTCCCAAACTCTGTGATATCGGTTTTTGAAATCCAATGTAAAACCAAAGATTAGTGACTAAACAGACACACAAAACAGATCCATCAAAATGCAGCATCAAAGTTAACGGGACCGTCCTCAAGCAAGTTGATACATATAAATAAGTACCTTGATAACAGCAGACAGAAGATGTATTAAAGAAGTTAAATGCAGAATAGCTCAAGCAAAGGCAACAATTTACCAAATGAAAAAAAATGTGGAAGCGAATCAAGTAAAGTCTGACAAGATTAGTGAACAATTATGAGGAAGCAATGGGGATGTGATTTTACAGATGAATAATAAGAATACCCTAAAAAGAGTAATGAAGATGTCTTGAAAGAAACTGACCAATGAAGACAACTGACTGCCCACATCAGAAGGAGACAGTTCTCTGGTCATCTGCATCAACTCAGATTTGGTAAAACTGACCTTGACTCCCCTAACTGACCCAGGCTAAAACAGGACAACATTACCCACACTAAGCCTGGTCCACAGGTCTATACAAATATGAGTTTAGTAACATATGTCCCATGGACCACATGCATAAAAATGGTCCCTGACTTGATCTGCTCTCAAGTTTATGTTCCTCTTGTCTGACTTTAATGTACCCATGCTATTTAATATCTGTTGTCTGTTCCTGATCTTTTTCAGTCTTGTCTTTTCCTATCTTCGTCTCTTTTTCATACCCCCCCCCCCCCCCCCCCCCCCCCCCCCCCCCCCCCCCCCCTTCAGTATTTTTCAATTCCAATTCATTACTTTTATTCTTCCAGTATGCAATACTTTCCTTTTTCTTCTTTTCCTGATTTCTCTTCTTATTTTCCTTTTTGCTACTCCTCATCTTTTCTTTTACTGTAAAAACTGTTTCTTTTTCTTCTTTTCCTGTTTTTTAAAATTATTTTTCTTTTTGCTTCTTTTACTTGTTATGGGGAGTTGCTGTGGCATAGCGGCTAGACGCTCATGTGTGGATCGTAAGACCGTGGGTTTGCTTTCTGGCAAAGCCAGACTTTACCACACACACAAAAATTACCTTGACTCTCAGGTCGACCCAGCCTTGAGTCAGTACCGGGTGTAGTCCTGGAAATAAAGGCGGCTGACTTGATGCTGACCACATCACCCATCTTGTGCCACTTGGTCTTTAAAAATATAGGTCTAGCCCTATATGCCTAAAGGCATGGAAAAGGGACCTTTAATTTGTTTGTTTTTTTGTACTTACTTACTTATTAATTTTCTTCTTCATTTCTTCTTTTTTATTATTTTTCTTCTTCATCTTTTCATTTGTATTATTATTATTCTTTTTTTTTGTGTTTTGTTTTCTTCTTCTTCAATTTTTAATTTTATATTACTTTTCTTTCCCTCGTTAATGTTGTAGCTTTGTATACTCATAATGTTGTAGCCTACTATGCACACAGTGTTGTAGCCTAGTATACTCATAATTTTGTAGCCTAGTATTATCATCATTTTGTTACATAGTATGCACATAATGTTTGTTGTAGCCTAGTAGACGCAGAGTCACATAATTTACTACTCTTTCAGAAGTAACTATCATGAGACACTTTTCACAGTTAATCAAATTATATTTATCACTATACTGACAGCCTGGCTCTCTAGCGTAGTTGGCTAAACCGGAATGCATGGTGACCAGGTGACGAACTCCTTGTGGTCCGGGTTCAATCCCGGGGGTAGGCAGGAAAGCCACATTTTCTCCCAGATTTATGGTATTTACAATGGAATCAAGGCCAAAAGGTTGCGATATCCATAATACCGAGCCTAAGGGTTAACAACTCATGTTTCTGGATACTAAAACAAACAAACAAACACCAATTTATCAGCTTGCTGCTGAAGATGATGATCAGCACTTACAATACTGTTACAACTGCTGTGACAACAGTTTTTAACTCAACTGTCCAGTAAACCAAGGCAATCAGTATGAGGTTGACCACATTACTCGTCAAGTGCCAAACAGTCTTTAAAAGTCTGGCATTGCATGTCCAAAGCACTAATGGTGCTTCAATTTAACTTTTACAACTTCAACTCATTTGCTTTATTGCTGGCACCTTTTCGTCTTGCCAGGTGACAGTGTTATACAGTACTATGCGAAGGCATGGAAATCACAGCCTCATGGCAATGGTGGGTTAGCATGTACACCTGAAGTCATTTGCTGCAGGGAGATGGAGCACCTATGGGTATGACTGTTGTGCTATGATGTTGATTCTTAAATCATTAATCAGTGACTAGCAAGACCTGCTCACATTAAGAGTCTTCCACAATTGGAGAATTCTTCTTCTTCTTCACGTTCACCAGCTATGAACTCCGGCGGAAAGTTCTGGTTGTTCATCCACTTCTGAACTGCAGTCCTGTTCCAGAACCTGAGTGTTGCGTGTACATCCGTTTGACAGATCTGTATGCAGACTGTTGGTTCCTTGCCTCTCGGGCAGATGAACTCCGACTTCGAAGGAAGCTCCCAATTAGTCGACTCTTACGACATGCTTTTGGGTAGGCAGTGGGTCTATTCTTGTTTATCCCATAGTAGGGCCCCGGAACCCACACGGGGAAATTGGAGAATGAGAGTTCAGGATCATTGTTGCCGTTGCATTTATTAATCTTTACGGAGATCCTGGAGATCGCCACCGGATCTACGGAGGTCGCGCTCTGTGTGGCTCTGTCAGCAGACAGCTAGCTGTGCTAGGAAGAGAGACTGAGCCATGGAGGATAAAAACTGGTGCAATGAAGTCGATCCTCTCAACTTTTCACCTTTACCTATCTGAATAAATGAATCAAGAATTGACATCACTGCACCCAAGAGATTCCCACATGTGCTCCGTCCTCTTCTTTAGTAGCCAACGAAGAGTCGACTTGCTAATGGTACCAGGTGTAACCAGATTAAAAATCCTCCTCTGTTCCCCTTTCGATGTTGAATATCTTCCAGAACCTCTACACAGCCCCAGTTGAATAAGTCTTTCAGTGTATGGATTCACTATCTGTTCTTTTGCATTGATCATTTTACCACACACAAAATTCACCACATCCACTTTATCAAATAGTAGCTCACCGCACAGAGGAGCAGCAGCAGCTTATCTATCAACCTCCTTATTACCTCATCCTATTTACAACCCTTTTCACATTTATCCATATTCCATTTCCAATTTCCCCCCTTCATGCCATATGGCCCACAACACCCTGCACCTACTTGAGGTTGAGGTTTAAAAAACGGATCAACATCATGGCACACAGGTAGTAACCCATAAGTGCTCCATTTTTCTTCTAACTCAAGACTGAGTCCGCAGAAGCTCAACACAGTGCAGATGCTCCTTAGCATCGGCGAGGATCCTGAAATACTTTGGGTAGATTTTTAACTCAGAATTTTGCCCGGGCAGTGCCGTTAGGCTACTCTTTCCGATTTCCAACTGCTCAGGGATTTTTTACGTGCGCAACAATAACAATGCACATGGGCGTCCGATCTCACTACTCAGAGACCTGAGGGAATTACTAGAAGTTCAAGTCCACATCTAAAAATTCCAGCCCTTACCGGGGATTGAACCCAGAACCTCTAGCACTCAAGGCGGACACCATGCCCCGAGACCATGCAGCCCCCACTGGCTTTACATTTATGACTGTATCAACCAGCTGCATACTCACCCATCAGTGCAGTCCAGACAAATGTTGGTCACCTCGGAAGGATTGGGAAGGTAACTCACTATTGCATCCAGCAAGGGTTGAACACCTTTGTTTTTGAGAGCTGTACCGACCAGCACTGGTGTAAACTCACGTTTGATCGTTGTTCTTCTGATAGCGCCCTGCCAACACAAATATGTTATGTTATACTTCGCACAGTTAAAGGGTGGTATGTATCTTCTGCGTTTGCCTTTAAAAGGGCAGCTGGCATGTTTTGGGGTGGGCTACAGCTAGGCTGTGATATCCGAGCCTTTCAGCTAAACACAACTAATTTCAGCAAACTTTTAACTAGTAACCTTTTATGGCATGCTTGCTAGAGTGTAGTGGACTTGTTCTTTTTTTCCTCCTATAATGGAGCTCAGAATACACAGGACAGAAGTATGTATGGTAATTTGCATTAAAAGGGAGAGGCCAACAATTAACATAATGATAAATGGGAAGTTACTAAAATAAGTAACAACTTCCTGTTATTTTGGCAGGTAATAACATATGATGCCATAAGTGAAAACAAAACAAAAATAAGCAAGAGAACAAGTGACTGAAAAGAGTTGCAAATTATTATGTATATTCTATGCTACTATATGGCACATAATAAAACCTGAAAAATGAAATTGGAGATGGGGCCTTAGAGATGTGGAAATACAGATATATTCACATTTTTTAGAGAAACAACAACCAATCAAATATAAAAGTTCTAGAGAGACTAGAAATGGAAAAAAAGAGCGGATAAAAAACATTTTAAAAAAAGTGAAATATTCTGAAAGCATGTAAATTTGCTTTAATACACAACCATGGAAGGAAAATTTGAAGATACGTGAGCAAGGGGAAGACAATGCAGGATTTATTGGGGGGGGGGGGGGGGGGGGGGGGGGTCTGAGCACTTATGAAATGAATGATCTGATGCGCAATGAGGATAATCTGTTAACTAATTAACTATCTAACATTCCTCCCAGCGCGGGAGAAAAAAATGAATAAACCCATTGCTTCCTAACAAGCACGTCGTGAAAGTCAACTAATTAGGGATGTTTCCTTCTAAACTGGAGTGCTTCTGCCTGAGCGGCAAGGAACCAACAGTTTACAATCAGATAACCTAGCTATGCAAAATGGATGTGCATGCAAAACTCAGGTCCTCAAATGAGACTAAATTCCAGAAGTAGATGAATAACCAGAACTTTCCGCTACAGTTTACAGCAGGTGAACATGAAGAAGAAGAAGAAGAAGAAGAAGATGATCTATTTCCTGTCTCACAATCTCAACATGCCAGAGTTCAAAGTCAGCTGCAGGCAACTTATTAGCACACCACTCTAAGCTGATCTAGACAACATTCTTAGTACTGCACCATTAAGAAAGCAATTACAATTACATGTAAAACTACAAAGAGCCAATAAATGCTGGGGAAGGTATACAACAACATGAAAAAAAAAGATATGCAACTTATTTCAACTTTATCTCTGTTCAGAATGTTTTGAAGTGATGAGGAATAATGGCCATTTGGCTCAGCAGAAGGAAAAAACCGGAGTACACCGTGACAGTAGGAAAGCTGAAGTGGAAGAGAGGGAGACCGAAAGAAAAGAAGCTAAACAGTCTGACACATCATGGCATGGAGGATCATCTGTGTCAGAGTTGACTGAAAGTGCATGAGACAGAAGGCTGTGGATAAACATGACTACCAATGCCACACGACAGGGACTTTGAGAAAAAGAAAGAAGGCACAGCCTTTGTGACGCAGTGCACAGGTCAGGAATTTATTTCGGGGCAAGAGACAAAAATCAACAACCAGAGCTTAAGTAATCCTGGTCCCTCCCCCATAACTTAAAACTAAATAGCAGAAGTAAGTTAGTAAAGGAGGTACATAGTGCTAGACCGCACAGACTAACTTGCATTCAATGGATGATATGACCAACATCACCAACTGCTTTTACCTCCCAGAACAATTTTAGTGCTTATTTGATCTGGTCAACCTGGGGGCAGAAGTCAATTCTGAAGAAGGAAAAACCGGCTTCAGTGAATTCTACACCTTCATGTCAGCAAGCGAGTACCTGGCTGCCACACCTCCCACATGAATAGTGAGTTGAACTAATTCTTATACCTGACCTTAAAGTCATTATCTAAATGGTTATAAGGTCACAAAAAATTTAACATTCTGTAATCTAAACTTATTAGACACCTTATTTGCTTCGTGGTTTCTGGACTGTACAAGAGTTACACAGTCAACAAGATTGCTACCTTACCACATAATATACACAAAAGGCAGAAGCGGACACATTTCCTCTGCTGAGACGGCACAAAACTTCAGTGATTTATATTTGCTTACCATTATATCTTGTACTGATGGGGTCTTTTCTTCCAGAAACATTTCACCAAGCGGTTCGTCAACATTTGAAATAATTTCTACAAAATGGAAAGAAATGAAACAAACATTAAAAAAAAAATTAAAGCACAAAAAGGTGTTGAATTTGGGGACCCGAAAAGGGCCTTGTTTAATGGCGCAAGGTGGCAAGCTTGTTTGTTTCGAGATGGTGACACTGGTGGATGCCTTGGGGCTCTCAACGACGGCACGCTGGTCAGATACACAGCAAGGAAACAACAAAAGGCTGCACTGACAGGTGGCAGAAATAAAGGCGTATGGATACGCCACAATAAAAAAAAAATATTGGAAATCCCAAACAAGAAAACACAGTCCCAAAATAACCGCTGCTCACAATTGGAGCTAGTTAGGGTGACTAGAACTTTTATTTTTTTACAAACAAACTGGAACAAACATTAAAACATCATTCTTAGTGACACATTGAGCTAACTAGTGCTTGCAGGCAGTAACTGTAGGTACTCTGTGATATGACTTGGAGACACATTCAGGAGGAGATCAGAGCATGGATGGACATGTCTGATGTGCGGTGAAGATGATCTTTAAATGAACAATGAAGAATTCTGTGATATGTCTTGGAGACATATTCAGAAGGAGACCGGGGCACTTGTCCACATGTCCGATTGCGGTGAAGATGATCTTTAAATGAACGATTCTGTGACATGTCTTGGAGACATATTCAGAAGGAGACTGGAGCACTTACGGACATGTCCCATGTGCTGTGAAGATGATTTTTAAATGAACAATTCTGTGATGTCTTGGAGACATATTCAGAAGGAGACCGGGGCACTTACAGACATGTCAGATGTGCAGTGAAGATGATCTTTAAATGAACAATTCTGTGATATGTCTTGGAGACATATTCAGGAGGAGATCGGAGCACTTGTCCACATGTCTGATTGCGGTGAAGATGATCTTTAAATGAACAATTCTGTGATATGTTATCTTTGCTTATTGGTTTTATTTGTCCAAGAACTGCGGATGCTAGATTATATGCCACATGCTTCTGGTCAAGATGGTGAAGCAAACATTGCCCCTTAAGGATATGTGTTCAATTTCATGGAGATCATGTTAATTGAAAAGTGCTCTAAATATGCCAAAAATATGAGGTCAGTGTTCAAGAGGAGAAGAGTAATGTTAAAGATTAATTTCCGACAGGTCTGGGAAACCTGTAGATTTCACTGTCTACACAGCAATAACCAAGAAGAATTAAGGAGATGTGTTTGTGTTAACCAAGTTCATTAAACAAGCAATTAGAACAAATCAGTCCGATTACATAAATGAGTTAAAACAAAGAAAATAAAGAAGACTAGGACTAAAAGAAGTTATATAGAGTTCAAATGAGATGGTCTGGCTATTTGCCTTGGTACCAACTGCCACTGCTGAAGAAACCCAGACTTGTATTTTATTATTTTAGACATTAAATCCTTTCAACAGAAAGACTTGCAGAAATGGAAAAACATGTGTGCAACAATGTTTAGGCTACTGTGTGTGACTTCTTGGATGAAATCAATAAAAGTTAGCACACAATACTGTTAAATATTGAACAACAGACAAGTATTCACACTGATTTTGATGAAAGTGTTATGAAGAAGTTGAGCTGTTATCACTGCCTGGCATTGCCCTCTCATCGAGCAAATTACATGTTAGATCCACTGTTGCAGCATGTTATATCATTTTTCTTGCAAGGCTTCTGCTAAATGGAAATGGTTTTTCACGAGGATTTAGTTGTTTTCAAGCCTACACTCCAGTCTGTCCAGCAGGTATTGATAGGAGAAAGGCTGACGGGAGAACAATGGCCATAGTAAGACATTAATCAGGTGCCACATGAGGATGATGCTGCTAAGCCTGGTCCATTTACACTGAGGAAAGGCTGTACTTGTGATTTTATTTCATCTTTGTAATGAATACCTGTCAGATTGCCACTGGTGATAACAAGGTTCATTCTGGCTGTGAGAACAGCTGGCCACTAATGATAACAAGGTTCACTCTGGCTGTGAGAACAGCTGGCCACTGATGATAACAAGGTTCACCTTGGCTGTGAGAACAGCTGGCCACTGATGATAACAAGGTTCACCTTGGCTGTGAGAACAGCTGGCCACTGATGATAACAAGGTTCCCTCTAGATGATTTGGAAACAGAATCCTGACTTATCAGAGAATACGTTAGTCCACTGATTTACCCAGCCATATCATATGCTGTCTGGCTCAGGTCAGACTGGCTTATCTTTGGCAAACTGACAGTACTAGTCTAACTGAAGGCTCATGATATAAGAGATTTGCCCCCCTCAGCCTGTTCTGCGTGATCTACATCTGAAGCCTGGAATGCTCCTGGCAGTCCATTTTGCCTGGATAAACATGCTTTCAAGGTATCTGTAATGGTCTTGAGCAGATTTGGTAGCCCCATTCTGTGATGACCAGCAATGGATCCAGTTTGGCAGTACTAGATTATATGTGTGATTAAGTGCTCCTGTGAACATTCAAATGTTGTGGTACTGCTGATATAGTCACTCTCCCTATGTGGGGACAAGTATGTTGTGAGAGTTTACTAATTAGGGATTTCCTCTGAAGTCAGAATGCATGGGGTGGTGAGGCAAGGAAGCAACAGTGTGCACATAAATAAGCCAGATCTGTAGAATGATTGTGTGTGCAAAACAAGTTTTTGAACAAGAGTGAAGTCCAGAAGTGGACAAGCAATCCAAACTTTCTGCCAGAATTTACAGTCAGTGAACATAAAGAAGAAGATAGTCACTCCAGCAGCTAACATTCCTATGGCCATTGTTCACTGAAGATGGTTAAACCCTGGCAGTGTGAAACGATGTCCCTCTTGGACTCTTGGTATTCTAAATGTTGACGATTATGTTTTCAGACAAACACATTCTTTTTATCAGAGCTAAATTTTCTCCTAAAACACCTATCACATTATTTTATTATGAATCATGATTTCCTCCCCCCTCTTCATTCTTATGATGGATGATGTCATCAAGACCTGTAAGGAGAAGACAAAGAAGTACTCTGTAGGGTACTGGAAGATGAGACCAATCTGTATATCAGAGCTGGCTTTTGCAGACGATGTGGCCCTGATAGCTAAATCAGAGACACACCTTCAGTCCAACTTACTTGTCTGGAAGGAAGAGCTTGAAAAGAAAGGGATGACCATCAGTGTCTCCAAAACTAAAACCATGGTGATCTCAAGAGAGGAGAAGAAACACCAGATCATGATGGGACAGTATGCGTTGGAGCAGGTTAACCAGTTCAAATACCTTGGAGCTGTATTAGACCAAAATGGAGGCATTAAGACTGAGCTGGCTACACGAAAAGCAGCTGCTGGGAGACTCTTCCAGGCCATAAACCGAGGGTTTCTTAGCAAAAGAGAAATTGGCAAGAGGACGAAAATGGCTGTTTACCGCTCTACCTATGTACCAGTCCTGACCTATGGGTGTGAGTCCTGGGCAATGACAACAGCTCACAGAAGCCAGCTGCAGGCCTCGGAAATGAGATACCTGAGAAACGTGGTCCAAGTGACAAGAAGGGACAAAGTCCGCAATCAGACAATACGTCAAGATCTTGATACCCAGCCCTTACTAACCCGAGTGGATCAGTCACAGTTACGATGGTTTGGACATGTGTGCAGAATGGGAGAAAATCGGCCACCATGGCAAGCATGGGAGGCTAAGAACCAGGGAACCAGACCTCCGGGACGACCCAGGGTGCGCTGGGAAGACAACATCCGACAGTCCCTGACTGACAGAGGACTGGAATGGAACAAAGCCAGAAAGAAAACTGCTGATAGAGACGTCTGGCGATCTCTCTGGCAAACCTCTACACCCCAAGGTAGAAGAGGAGCGACTAAGTAAGTAAGTAAGATTTCCTCCCCACAAACAGTGTGATCCCGTTGAAACTGTATGGGCAAGGAAATATCTTCTTATAGTCTATGTTGAATGGCATTGGTAGCCATGTCTATTCACAACCTTCCGTCTCAATGTACTTTCAATTCCTTCCATCTCAGGTACTACTAACACAGATGATCTTCCATATCATGAAGTGAAACTGTCAGCATATTCTCTCACAGTCTCCTGATGCCTCTTTTCTCCTCCAACTTTCCCCCCTGCCACAATGTACTTAAATGTTCTCCTTCTCACAGCATTGACTGAAGAATGTAGATTGTCTCCTTCTAATGTGGGCAGTAATTTTTTGGGGGGAAGGGGGGTTAGTCAGTGTCTTTCCAGACATCTTCATTCCTCTTTTTTATCTGTGAACATAGCTCACATATAAATGTGTGTCAACTTGTATTAGAGTTATCCAAGAACTCACAAATGTTGCCCTGTAGACTACTGCACACTTTGTTTCCAAAGCAGTTGAGGAAACCAGTTCTGTGTTGGTTTATTCTTCTTTTGCTTCCTGCACAGTGTTTTTGTTTGGCTACACCCTATTTAACTTGGTGTTCTTGCAGTCTGATCATGGCTGCAGAGTCATAATCCTCATTCCGTTCTTAAAAACATCTTACTTCTTGTAGAGCATTCAGTATATCATCCTGGTCTATGGTTAATCAGCCCTCTACAGTATCTTTACCTGCAAGCCTATCAGTCTGCTCATTTCCCTGTACACCTGCATGCCCTAGCAGGAAAAGAATACAGATCCTTATCAGGCGTTACCGCCTCAGAGACACCAGCCACTGTCTTTGGACCCAACCCATCTCTATCTTCCTTAACGAGTCAGTGAGAATGCCTAGAAGAGAAGAGAAGAAGAAGAAAAAAGACAGAAGAGAGAAGAAGAAGAAAAGAGAGAAGAGAAAAGACAAGAGGGAAGGAAAGAAAAAGAGAGAAGGGGAACAAAAACTTAGATGATTCACACATAAGGCAATGTTTTTTGGAGTATAGATTAAATCTTCAACAGTTATTCAGAAGAATAAAATATCTAGGGTTGTGTTATGTGCCAACAATATTATAATGAAACTAACCAATCAATTCTTGTCGTTTGTCTCTTGCTTCTGCACGCATATCAGCTGGGATTTCATCTTCTCTTATGATCAGCCTGCAGATTCAAACCCACATATTTATTTATGTAAGTTAATGACAAGCAGGATACGGGGAAAAGCAACAACAATAACAAAAATCTGGCTGTTACCAAGGGTTTAATCTAGGACAAAATATGCCAGTATTCATCATAAAATGTTTAAAAGAAGTACCAGCATTCACTACAAAGTGTCTACTGCAGTAGATTTGAAAAAAAAAAAAAATGTATAGAAAAGGCACTGGTTCTGCATACTACCAGGAAAAAAGCCATAGTTGAACAATACATATATAATTGTTCATATATTAAGCCAGTCACCTCAGTAATGCTTAAAAAATTGGATTATAAAAATCTGAATTCCAGAAAAAATCCATAAAAATAATTGTACACAGGAAACATTATTTTAAACAATTTATTCATCATTATATTTTGATATTTTTTGTAAATATATAAAGATATAAAGGGCGTTATCAATAAACAGAAACAGAGTGAAGCATGAATAAATGCAGTGCATTCCCTGGTGGCCTAAAAACAATATGTTTCTGGCGACTCATGTTGTGACCCCATGACCCCTATCACTGAAGCTTACAGGAAAACGTTACAGCAACATGTCTTTAATAAAGCTATTTGGTTTAAATGAAAACAACCAACAATTTTTATATTTAGCTTATATAATCCAATTTTGTCCTTAACATTTGGCCAGGTATGAACTTTGTCAATAGCATTAACTATGTGTTTCATAAACACATCACTGTAAACAAATCAGAAAAATGACATTTACAGAAAACATGACCAAACTGGAAGTGTTGGTTTTGTGGCTTCTCGGGCAACAGGTGCAAGTGCATTATAGACAGTCATGTAAAGGAACATGCCCAAGAAAAATTGACTGGCTGGTACGAAAACCTGCCAGCCAATCTCAAGGTTTGTATTAACTCTTTAAGGCCCAAGCAACAGTGTGAGCGTTGTTTGAGAAGTTCTGTTTTGCCAAAACAACGCTGTCATCGTCGATCGTGTGCCCCGTAAATTTTGCTTCACACGCCCTCCGTATCAGTTTCTAATGTTCGGAGGTACGATTAAACTATTCAGAGAAAGTCACTCTGCCGAAATCCTTTAATATTCATTTCCTAGCCTAAACCACAAGTGCACATTTGATAGGATTAAGAGCAAAGTTTTTTTCAACAGTGCATTTTCTAAGTTCGTTTTCAAATGAAATGAATACCAATGTTCCAACCACAAGGACAGGTCGCAGAATGCGTCTTTCTGCGGCCGAAGCTATGAAATTGTTTCAGTCAGATGTTTTTAATTCTGATAATGAAAATTTAGATTTCTCGGAAAGTGATTCAGGCGGTGATTTTTTTTTACCAGCGAAGCTGAGTGATCAGCTGTTCTGTGATTCTAGCGATTCTGATGAGTTTTTTCATACAGACAATGTCCCATTGCTACCCTATTTATGGTGTAAGAGAAGGAAAGTGCTCTAAACAAAGAGATTGTACTATACTATGGCTAAGCTACATTGAAATCATCGCAGTTACAGTCTGTATATAACTGTACAAAGTAAATGGTAAATAGTGTATGTGTGTAATGGCTCATTTTTCGGGTCATTTTTCTCTCTGACATTTTGCTCAACACTCTGTGAGAACTAAGAGCCCTTGAGTGCTAAACTAACCCAGAAACTTATTACTTTGGAATTTGTTAGGAAATTGAACAAACTTTGACGTTTTGTTCTCAAATTTGGATTTTCACTACTCTTGCGGCTGCAAAATGACGGTAAGTGAAGAATTTGTTTGTAAAATGTTGTGAAATTAACACCTGCTGAATTCTTCTTTCCTATTAGGTTGTTGCGTATCCTTTTCAGGACGTTGCAGAACCAACCCTAACAGCCCCTGGCTGTTTTACGTCCAGTAGTTTGCCATTGCTTTCTGGACAGTCGGCTTTCTTGATACCACTGTCGAAACCAACACAAGGCGCATTGCCCGCAGCTGGGATCGAACCCGGCATCCCGGCATTACGAAGCGAAGCGGTCGCATCGACCTAGCCACAGAGCCGACCTTTCGTATTAACTATAAACAAATTAAACATATACTTATCAGATTCGAAATGTACATTTATTTCTCTTTTAAAAAATACATACTTTTATCAGGATTCAAAGTATATTACATTCTCTATTGCCTTTCTTGTACACCCACCCCTCTGCCGTTTTTGTAAAGGGAAATTAATGTGGGCCAAACCTGCTAAAATTCATGGGCCTGAAAGAATTAATTAGGGCCGGCCTATCTGCCCAGTCGTCCTTTTGGCTACTTTGTGCTGGGCCGATATTTCAGCCTCGTTGTCTCCAAAGGGTTAAGTGTCTAGCATCAAGGCTGCCAGAAAAGCAAGAAAGAAAACATATCTCCTCCAACATCCAAAGTGGTAACAAAACAAAGAATATCTGTGCTGTCTCCACAATGAAGGTTGGCTACAGTGTGCCACTGTTGTCTTTAAGGCCCTCATCTCTTCCATGGTGCAACTCTTGTACTACTGCCCAAATACTTTAAAAAAAAAAGTTTTTTTTTAATTTTTAAAATACATTTTTGTTTGTTTGTTTGCGAGAATGGAGAGCTCTAGTACCAGAAATTATGAAACTGTTAAATGCAACACTAATCTCTAAGCATCAGAGCCGCATGAAGTGGTAAACTGGAGATTAACAAACAGAATAACCAACTGCAGATTTGTAGATATAGATAATCTATTTCAAGCGAACAAAAGAAGAGAAAGACCGTCTCCAGGCTTAACGTCACAACTAGAAAATCTATCAGAGGAAAAGAAAATTTATATAATGTAGTTCTGTATAATACAGTTAGATTTCTACCAGAGCTGCGGAGCATGTGCATTGTGTGAGGTTGCCCTGCATATCAATAGAAGACTGGAAAACTGCATGGACATATCCATGAGTGATATCATCAACACCATGTGCTATATCAGGAAGGGTAGGCTAGTCAATAGTTCATCCTCTCACTTGATCACCAAAACTGCTGATAAGGTCAGTGTTTTTGACCGATCTGTGCTATCCAGGTATTGGTGGCTTCCCTTTCTCTTTTCCCTCTTGTCTCCCCCGTTTTGCCTCTGTCTTCCCCTTGCCTTTTTCCCCCTATGTCTTCCTCTTATTCTTTTGCAATCAAATTTTCCAGTTGTCACCTAATTTTTGAGTTAATCCTTTGCATAATATATATCTACAATGTTGATGAGTCTTTACAAACCACACCAAATTCAAGCTCAACCAATATAAAGAAAATTATTACTGAAGTGAAAACTTACCCCTGTGGCTCTTCAAAGTACAAGGCTTTCTCCTGAATAAGGTCAACCAGTCCTTTATGTTCACTTTCTAGCCCAATAGGAATGTTCACGAAAGCAGCATTGTGATGCAATTTTGATCTAGAGAGACATCAACATGTAAAAAGTAAAGGACCCTTTTCTATGCCATTAGGCGTATACAGCTAGACCTATATTTCATAGACCAATCGGTCCAAGATGGGTGATGTGGTCAGCATCCCGCCGGCTGCCTTTACTTCCTGGGACTGCACCCAGTACCCACTCAAGGCTGGGTCAACCTGGGAGCCAAGGTCACTTTTGAAAAAAGTCTGGCTTCACCAGGGAGCGAACCCACGACCTTCCAATTTGCAGGCGAGCATATGGCTACTCTGCCACAGTGATTCCCAGTATCATCATGACTATAACAAATATTACAGCTGAAATAATAATTAATATGGTGTAATGTAATACAGAATATACTTTATTAATGTCATGGACTATGCCAGATTGTGTAATGGAATACAGAATATACTTTATTAATGTCATGGACTATGCCAGATTGTGTAATAGAATACAGAATATACTTTATTAATGTCATGGACTATGCCAGATTGTGTAATGGAATACAGAATATTCTTTATTAAAGTCATGGACTATGCCAGATGGTGTAGGCATTAATGCCTCTTTACAGATCTTTTCATCTGCACCACAAATAAATTCTACTACTCCTCTATGCTACTAGTTTAAATCAATCAGCATTTTTTCTCTAGGTCCATCTTTCCTTCTGCCTTTCCTGCTGCTAATTTCTTTAATGCCTTTCTTCTCATTAAACGAGCCATAGAATACCGTCTCTTTCTTACAGTTGCATATGTTCTAATTTCATAAGCTTTAGTGCCTTAATGAGAAATGAATCCATAAAGGACCCCTTTTCCATGCCCAGGTGTATTGGGCATATAGGGCTAGACCTATATTTATAGACTAAGGGGCACTGGGTGGGTGACGTGGTCAACATCACCATGACCACTTATACCCGGTACCCATGTAAGGCTGGGTTGACCAGGAAACATTTGTATTTCTGAAAACAGTCTAGCTGTGTTCGGGTGATTTGAATCCCCACATAACCTTTCTCTCCAGACTGTGATGATGTATGTGCTCCCATGCTCCCAAATGGCCTTCACCAAATCTACCTTATCCAGGGTTCCTAGCCAAATTCACCAAAAATGTTTCAAGTGTTTTCTCAAGGTATTTTCGCCTTGTTATAGGATGCACCAAACATACACGGTACTTTATTTGCATGTAAATGTGTGGATATATGCACACAGATAAAGTGTTTTTACTTTTTTTAGTGACTTGGCAGAGGGGAGCAAACTGAAGTTCTGTCTGCTCTAGACCTGGTAAGTGAAGGACAGAGTCATATAGATGGAGAGAGAGGGGATCAAAACAAGATGGACAGGAAGGTAGAGAGAAGGCCAAATGAAGAGAAGAGGAAGAAGGAAAAGAAACAGAAAGATTAAAGGAGGGAAAAAAATGACAAAGAGAGAGAGAGATGGAGGGAAGGAGACAGGAAGAGAAAAGGGACAGGCAGAGAGGGAGAAGCAGACAGAAAGAAGGAAGAGACAATGGGGCAGTATAGACAGGCAAAGAGACAGACAGACATTTTACCTACCTACCAGTAAAATAGGTCATGTTACCAGTGGACTCCAGCTACATTTCTGATTCTCCTATTACAGAAAATGGGAGGGGGGAGGGATGGAATAGATGATTGAGAGGGAAAGAGGGAGACAGAGGTGGGGAGCAGAAAAATAAAAAAAGAGAGTAAGATAAGAAAGTCAGGACCGAGAAAGGGAGAGAAAGAAAGGAGTAAGAAAATGAGAGATATTGGGAGGAGGTTAAGCAGGAAGGGGGTGAGCCCCGCCCTGAATGTATCACTGGAAAGGGGGGTGGGGGGTGAAATAGCACATGTGTGAGGGATGATGATAGCTCGCTTGGCACCGTCTATACCCCATCCCGAAAAGCAGACAATAAAACCAGGAACTGCATATCACTGGCCCACTCCCAGTCTACTGAAACACTTTTAAAACAACACATTTAAAACGATGGTAGCCGAAATCTTGCCAAACTTCACCATGATACAGGATGCAATTTGTGTGTGCCTGGAGGAATCTCGCTTGTTGTGCTGTCCTGATGGGGTTGAACATCAGTCAGACAATCTTGCCCGTGCAGTTCACCGATGATCAGTTCAAACGACCGTAGCACAAAAATGGTAACCACAAAAAAAAAAGACCCTAATGCCGAAAAATCACAGAAAATTCTTTTTAAAAAAATTGATTTCCAGGCTTTAGCAGATAAAGTTCAAGGATTTTCATCAGTTTTCATAAATTCCTGAGGTTGTCCCCATTTTTTCCAAGGCCCTGAAAGGGAACTTATGGCTCCCATGTTTTTCTAGGTTTCAAGGTCAACTATCAACCCTGCTCGTCATTCATCAAGTGTTGCAAAACTAGCCTGTTCATTTTTCAACATACTAGCAAAAGAAAAGACACAAAATAGCCACTTTCAGTAATACTCAATGTAGTAAAAATGGACTAAATAATCTAAATATGATCTAAAAGTAGAATTAACAATTTGAATTTGATCTAAAAATGAAATGAATAATATAATCTAAAACATATCTTTCAACAACACATCACTGACCTCAACTGATGCAATACTCTTGCAGGATTCGAACCCTGTCGATCCAGTTTGTTGATAAACGCCAAGCTGGGCACATTGTACCTCTTCATCTGCCTGTTCACAGTGTATGTCTGGCTCTGCACCCCACCCACAGCACATAAAACCAGAACGGCACCATCCAGTACTCTCAAAGCTCTCTCCACTTCCACCGTGAAGTCCACATGGCCAGGAGTGTCTATGATATTGATGTTGTAGTCATTCCACATGACGTATGTTGCTGCAGATTGAATAGTGATCCCTCGCTGCCTCTCCAGCTCCATAAAATCCATCTTGGCACCCACCTGATCTCTGCCACGAACCTTAGAATGAGATCAATGAGACCTAAGTTGACCTGTATTCACAATTACAAGCAAGACTATGGAGGTGATAGGGGTAACAAAAGCAATGGTGTGGGTAGAGACACGCATGCTTTTTAAGTGATTCAATGAGCAAGCTTAACAAGACAGAGACAGGATGGATTCAAACAAAATGGTTGGAGTCACTGAGGAAATCTCGTCTGAACGGTATTACATTTTTTGGCAGGACACTCTGGGGTAAGAGGGAATGAACAAGTGAAATGGCTTGCTGGTAGGGCCACAGTAGGTACAGGAAAAGCAATGGACCAGGCCGACATTCTCAATGCTCTCAAGGAGGCAGGACGAGAAGATGACTCAAGAGATGAAGTTGAATCGGCAACACTCAAAAGACTACAAGAACTTCAGGTCACAAGAGGTGTCACCAAACAGGAACACTATACAGGTAGCCAAAGAAAAATAGTAAACCAATACAAAACTGGTGTTATCAGTCGCCACACGCTGAGGGATATACTGAAAATGAAAATCGTGCACTCAACAATAACTGAACACTGAAATATTTACTTATATCACCAACTCTGCCTAATTCAAAACCAATATGCTTGCTATGCAATGAATGTGTGTTGGCAGTAAAGGAACAGAACGTAAAGCGGCATTTTATAACAAAGCATGCAGATTGTAGAAAATCATATCTAGAGGGTTCCACTGCTAGGATTGTAAAAGAATTGCTCTGGCATCAAACCAGCCAAATTTTTTATAAAATTTGCTCAAAAACGGAAATGTAACTTTTCCCATTAATTACATTTTGCATTGTTACAACTTTTGGTTTCTTCTGCACAAAGCCATACGAAACATACTGTGGACAGTTATTATTATTAAATTATTAATATGATAATGACAACTGAAGTGACAATGCTAACGTGTATTCATAATTCCAACAAAGAGTCAGAAATATGTGTGTGTCAATTAAAAGTGAGTATTAATTAATCCAAAAAACAAATCGTAAGACACTTTACATTATAATGGTTCAGGAGACTTCCGTTTTCAAAATGGTGCATAGCAGCAGTGTTTGTTTTCGCTGGCTGTCAATTCTCTCGGATTGTTCTGTTTCATAATCATGAACTGCTATTTTGTGCGCATTTCCAACGCAGGATACTATGTGTTTTTGGTGGGAGCAGCGTGTATTGTGGTTGTGCTATGTCGGGGCGGGATAATGACTGATAGTTTTGGCAGCCTCGACCACGCTGCCTTCGCAATGTTTTGATCGCGGCGGTCCACTCGGGAAGACAGAATCTCCTCATCAGGGGACTGCAACTGTCTGGAGAGCAAACTCGATAAAAGCGGTCCCCAGAAACGGAATGTGTCAACCAAATATTTGGTGGGGACAAATCGACACATACGGTTAACAACATGTTAGGTTAGGTTAGGAGTAACATTTGTAGAATTTATTAAAGTTATGCACTGAAAATGTTGTTCATTGTATTGTGTTAATAAATCTTTCCACAGTAGGTATTGGGCCACTGGCCTGCGGCGAACCCCATTTTAAGCATTCTGACCCCCCGAATAAACTTAGTTAAATAGCCAGGATGTAGAGTGTAGAGATTAACTGTTCCAGTAGCACACTAGATATATCCATAAGTGCTCCATCTCCCACAGCACATTCTGTAAGGTGCAGATACTAAACACTCCAGTAGAACAACGAGCATATCCATAGATGTTTCAACGGCAAATGTAAGGTAAAATTGTTTTAGCAGTCCACTGGTCACAACCAACAAGTCTTCCTGTTTTCTGTATAGGTCCTTCCTTAATGGGTCCTTCATGTTCACATCTGTCATTACATCTAACAATCAGTCTACAATAGGCATTCATTCACAAGTAGTTTTAAGAGTAAAACGAGAAAGTTAACAGTGTTGTGTCATCATGGTCTATCACCATTAATAAAAAACCTGTTGTGCTGTTGACAGATCACTTAGAGGTCCCAGTCTATTCCTTAATTTTATTCTATCCTATGCAATCTTGTTGATATAATGGACTGAATCCAGCACCTTTGGCCTCTCTCATCAGTTTCCTCTTGGACATCCTCTTTTCTTCAATTCACTGTTGCCAAAGTTATGGTAAAATAAACTTTTTAGTTAACAAAAACGAAGGATTATGTGTCAATTTTTGTGCAGTGGATCGATACATTACAGGTTTTCAACATAAAATAATGCAAAGGCAACAAGGGACTAGAGAATATTAAACTGATATGTGTATCAACAACAGATTTATTCACGATTTGTCAGCTGTAAACTCAAGTGGAAAGTCTTGGTGTTTAATTCCCTTCTGGACTCTGGTTTTGTTCCAGAACTTACTATTTTGCACGCACATCTGCTCTAAGATCAGGCCTCTCTTGTTTTTTATGTACACTATTCATTCTTCCCCTCTTATGCAGATGTACTGCCACTTTGAAGAAAACACTGATCCTATCTACACTGGCCAGGCGCCTTCTTGGGAACATCGGCGACCGGGTCGCCCACTGGCTGGTCGGTAAACGACTTCGTCATCAGTCGGGACAGTATTTGGGTTTGTCTCTCCTGATCGCATCAACACTGCAAGAGTGCTTATCAAAGCTCAGGATTACTTGGTGGAGAGCAATGCTAAGTCATTTTATATGGCGCACATAACATAGTCACAATTATTACCTAAAGCTTACCCCTGTGTGGGTTCCGGGGCCCTATTGTGGGGAAACAAGAATAGACCCACTGCCTCCCCAAAAGCATGTCCTAGGAGTCGACTAATTGGGGAGCTTCCTTTGAAGTCGGAGTGCATCTGCTGAAGAGGCAAGGAACCAACAGTCTGTATTCAAGAGAATGAGATCTGTAAAACTGATGCACATGCAACACTCAGGTTCTGGAGCAGGACTGCAGTTCAGTAGTGGACGAGCAACCAGAACCTTCCGACAGAGTTTACAGCTGGTGAACGCGAAGAAGAAGAAGAAGATAACCTAAAGCTCCCCTTTCAGGGATGCTGGTTGAGTGTAATAATTTTTTATTTTATTTTAGCAAAGCAATGGAACAAAACCAGTTAGGAACCTGTTTATAAGATAACCATGGAGAGGTGTAGAAAGGTCTTGAGCATTACCAGCCCTGGTTCAACAACTCTGCATCCCAATCTCTACAGAACAATACAGATTTAAATTGTGGATACTCACTTCATGCATCTCTGCCAGTCTTCCAGTGTAGAAAAGCAATCTTTCTGTCAGAGTTGTCTTTCCTGAGTCAATATGAGCAGAGATACCAATGTTGCGAATTTTGTCCACTTCTGCAATCACTTCCTGTGAATTCCAAACATACATTTTAAGCATTACAGTACAGAAACACTGACTAACAATGGCATATAGAAAGAAGAGAAAAGATATTAAAAGGAAAGAGATAGTAAGGAAAAAAAAAGAGAAAAGCAGAGATGTAAAAACCTAGCTTAGTGTGCAAACATGTTTCCTTCAGGCAAAGTAATGTTGTGTCTGGAGAATATGTGATGTTAAAAGTGTTTCTTTTATCTGAGTATGTTCTATAGAATATCTTGTCCTGCTATAGTTAGTCTTTAAAACCATCTATCTGACTAAAAAATGGTCACTACTCTCTGTATTTACTGCTTTTTTTAGATTGGGGGGGGGGGGTCCTGAAGACTGAGGACCAGACTGCATGGTTAGACTAGTGCTGTTGCCACAAACTATGCAGGTTTAGATGTTTATTTTTTGGTGTGTGTGCCCAACAGAAAAACACTCATCACTTTAGCAGGGGTTGAACTCGGGTCTCCCGCATAAAAGTCCGACATTGTAACCACTTGGCCAGCTCCTCCTATAACTGTCTATCAATACTTTCAAATGTATATCTTTTTGTTTTTGGCATTAAAGGGTTTTTAATAGAAATATCACACATGACACACATCGTGATTGTAACTGATTCAGAAAGCATGCTGAGGAATTTCAGAACAGGTATGCTTCGTGCAGAGTGGCATGCTTCGCTGCGGAGGACACGGGTGAGGAGTATTGTCTGGATTTTGTCACCGGTTACGCCGGTGTGTTGGGAAATGAACAGGCGGACAGACTGGCTGGCTCTGCACAACTTGGTGGAATACTGATACATGATAGGGCAGACGTGGTTAGTGCATTGTGGGAGAGCGTGTACAATTCGGAGGAGCAGATGGATCACCACAGTCTGGTGAGATTGATGCAGTTGGGGGTGACGAGAGGTTCTGGCAGAAGCTCGAGGCTCAGAGGAAAGGCAAGACGGACGTTTAATCAGAAAGCTACTGGCACCATTAGCATCTGAACTCTTCGCTGGCTGCTGAAGATGGGGATGGAGCGCTTATAGGAATGCCCCAAGTGCTGTGATGTCGGTTCTTGAATCAAATTAAATCAAATAGAAATATCAAGATCATGACAGCGCAGAATGAAAGGAAATAAAAAGAAACATGGCCACACAACAATTTATAAAAGTCAACCTACAATCACCAATAATGAACTTTATAGGTAGACAACAAATCAAATGGTTTAGCCATGTAACAAGATTGGCAGCAGACAGGGCACCACAGACAGCAGTGTTACTCAGATACAACTGTCAGACCCAAAGGTTGACCACGCAAAATATGGACCGCAAAAATATCAGACACTGAAAAGTACAAATTACGAAGCGAACAAAAGAGCGCATTCTAGAGATCTCTTCCTTCCCTGATGCCACAAGCATTCCAGGAGTAGAGAAAAGAAGAATCAGATAGATAAATACTGACAGCGCCTCATAATAACAAGCATAATACACTATACAAAAATTAAACACCCCCAGAAATGGTGACGCCATTTGTTAGGTGTATGCTTTACTTCCTCAAATGAAAATCTTCTAGTCCGTATCTGTTCATACTTCAGCAGCACATGCTGCCAATAATTTCCAACACAAATATTTCTACTTGCCTCCATGCTTTGCTGTCCAGTATCGTCTCTACAGGTCTTCCTCTGTCTCAACTATTCAATC